TTACAATCAGTCCCCCATTGAGCATGCATCTGAGTTACGACCTTCGCTATGGCTTCCATGGTCCACGCTGGTCCGGGGGCATCCCCCCCGCTGCACTAGGCCTGCTGTGCAGCCGCCGGTCCCCTGTCCAGGCGAAATCCCGAACTCCGGGCGCTGCGATTTTCCCGGGGTTTCGGCACCAGATGTTGCCGTTACAGCGTGGCGACCTGGTTCGGGAGGTCCGGCACGGTGACCCAAGGCCCAGGGTCACTCGGTCCAATGCTACATACACCAATGTGGTGGACAGCAAATGGCGTTTATTGAGGGGTCTCAGGGGTATTTATGGCTTGGGCAGTCTGTGTCATTTCCCTCTGCTCATGTCCGGCCGGGTGTGGCCGGGTACAGAGCAAAGGTCAGACTGCAGGGTGAGGGGGGTCTTCTTATCTACCCGTACAGCCCGAGATCTTCCGCACGCAGATCCCTAGCTCTCCACATCTGGGGTTTTCCAGAGCCCCAAATCGCCTCTCAGGGGGCTCCAAGGGCAGCAGCTCCCGGAAAACCCAGTGGAATTCCTGCTGGGAATTTCCCTCTCTGCGGCTTTCAGATTTAGAAATAAAAAATTGAGAAATAAAAATGGTTTTAGAAAGAAAACTTTGGCTGCCCAGGCATTTCCCCTTTTTCCAGGAATTCCATCATTCCCACAGTTTCCCATCCCACACACACCGGGGGCTGGATCCGTTTGGGGTTTGCTGGGATTGAGTTTGGGGGGGACCCAAAACTGCCCCATTCGGGAGGGGGTCACGCTACTGGGGGGCTGGGGTGGGGGGGCTGGGGGGTTTGGGGTCACAGCACAGGGGGATTTGGGGGGAGGCACAGGGGGGTTTGGGGGGCAGCACAGGAGGGGTTTGGGGTCACAGCACTGGGAGCTCTGGGGTGGCTGGACTGAGGGGTTTGGGGTCCGGCACTGTGGGACCTGGGGTGGGGGGGTCTGGTAGATTTGGGGTCACGGCACTGGGGGGTTTGGGGTCATGGCACTGGGGGGTTTGGGTTGGTGGCACTGGGGGGTTTGGGGGGCAGCACAGGAGGGGTTTGGGGTCGCAGCACAGGAGGGGTTTGGGGTCACAGCACTGGGAGCTCTGGGGTGGTGGCACTGGGGAGTTTGGGGGAACAGCACAGGAGGGGTTTGGGGAGGTTTGGGGTGGCCCCACTGATAGGGTTTGGGGTCTTGGCACTGGGGGGCTGAGTTGGCGGCACTGGGGGGGCTGGGGTGGGGGGGTCTGGTGGATTTGGGGTCACAGCACAGGAGGGGTTTGGGGTCATGGCACTGGGAGCTCTGGGGTGGTGGCACTGGGGGGTTTGGGGGGCAGCACAGGAGGGGTTTGGGGAGGCCCCATGGGAGGGTTTGGGGTCATGGCACTGGGGGGCTGGGGTGGAGGTTCTGGTGGATTTGGGGTCACAGCACTGACGGGGCTGGGGTCATGGCACTGGGGGAGCTGGGCTGGTGGCACTGGGGGGGGTTGGCGGCACAGGGGGATTTGGGGTGGCAGCACGGAGGGGTTTGGGGTCACGACACATGGGGGGGTTTGGGGTCACAGCACCGGGGTTTGGGGTCTGGGCCCGGCGTCCCCCCGAGCACGGACGCGCTGGGACAGCCCCTGGCGCTGCCGGGATCCGCTCGGGGCGGCCCAGATGAGGGACGGGGCCGATTTTGGGACTCCCTGGAAGGGGCTGCACCCCCCGCCCCATTCCCGCCTTCACCGCGCCCACCAATGACGTCATATACCAGCAGCCAATGGTAAGGCAGATGGGGTGGGTGGGGCTGCGGCTCGAAGTGCCCGGATGTTGGTGGGGGCGGGGCTTCGGTCCGATCCCACTGCAGTCCCAGTACGGCTCCAGTCCAGTCCTGCCCTGTCCCAGTCCGCCCCCGGACCCCTCCCAGTCCGGTCCCTCTCCGCTCCCAGCCCAGCACTCCCAGTCCAGTTCTGTCCAGTCCCAGTCCGCCCCTAGTCTGGTCCCAGTCCAGTCCCAGTTTGCTTCCAGCCCAGCACTCCCAGTCCTACCCCAGTCCGCTCCCAGTCCAGTTCTGTCCAGTTCCAGTCCGCCCCCAGTCTGGTTCCAGTCCGCCCCAGTTTCCTTCTGGCCGCTCCCAGTGCATTCCAGTCTCTCCCAGTTTCTCTCTGGCCGCTCCCAGTCCATTCCAGTCCCTCCCAATCCGCCCCAGTTTCCCGCTGGCCGCTCCCAGTCCATTCCAGTCCCTCCCAGTCCGCCCCAGTTTCCCGCTGCCCGCTCCGCCAGGGAACGCCCGGACGCCGCCGCTCCCCGCGGCCAATTCCCAGTTTGTCCCAGTTTGTCCCAGTTTGTCCCAGTTTGTCCCAGTTATCCCCGGAACTGGAGCTGGCGCCGCCCCGGGACCAGTTTGGTTCCGTAATGGAAAAGGAATTAAAAACACCCTAGAACTGGGCGGGGATTTCTCTTTTTTCTACAGATTTTCCTTCAAAATAACCCCAAAAGCCAAGAAAAAAAAAAATTTCCGCGGTGGAAAACTGAGGGAAAACCAGAGGAATCTGGGTGAAGAAAGAGGAAATTGGGGTGAAAGACGAGGAGTTTTGTGGTGAAATAGGCGGGATTTATTTGGGGAAAAATAGGAATTTTGGGGAAACCAAAGGGATTTGTATGAAGCGGGTGGGATTTGAGGTGAATTGGGTGGAAATGGGATAAAAAAGAAGGAATTTGGGTTAGAGTTAGGAATTTGAGGTGAATTAAGAGGAAATGAGATGAAAAAGAAGGCACTTAGGGTTAGGGATTTGAGGTGAATTAGGTGGAATAGGGTTAGGAATTTGAGGTGAAATAGGTGGAAATTCGATGAAAAAAGAAGGAATTTGGGTTAGGGTTAGGAAATTGAGCTGAATTAAGTGGAAATTCGATGAAAAAGAAGGAATTTGGGTCAGGAATTTGGGGTGAATTAGGTGAAATGGGATAAAAAAAGAAAGAATTTGGGGTGGGAACAGGAGGAATTCGTGGTTCCCGCTCATAAACCCCGGGGGAAAAGCGATTATTTTTCTAATTGAACAAAATTAATTTCCCAATATTTAGCGCGGAAAAGCGGCTGAACAAAGCCCCGCCCAGACCACGCCCCCAACGACGCACGAGCGTGGTTTGATAAAGCCACGCCCCCTATACGGATATGGGCGTGGCTTTAGCCGCCCCGCGCGAGGTAAACACAACCTCGCCCCGCCCCTTTCCCCGCCCATCCAATCCGCGCCCTCCGCCCGTTTCAAGTCCCCCCTCGCCCCGCCCCTCTCCGCGCCCGTCCCTCAGCGGCGGCCGCGGCCCCGCCCCGGGGGCGCCTGGAAACCGCCGCGGCCCCGCGCGCTCCGGTGGGCGCGCGCCCCCGCCCCCCCGCCCCTCCCCCCCACCGGACGCGGCGGGAGCGGCAGGTACCGGGGGGGGGGGAGGGGCGGGGCTGACCCCCGGGACCGTGGGGGGGGTGGAGGTGGGGGGGGTTGGGTCAGCCCCGTGTCCCCCCCGTGTCCCCCGGTCGCTGTCACCCTCCTGTTGATGCCCCCCCCACCCGGGACGCCTCCGCCGCTCCCGCCGGTCCCGGAGGCGCTGCCGGGGAACGGAGCGGAGCGGGGACGGGGACAGCGCGGCGGTGTCAGCGGGAGCGGCCCGGGACGGTGCCGGGGGGGTGCGGCGGCCGCGGCCCGGTTCAAGTAATCCAGGATAGGCTGTTCCAGCCCGGCCTGTTCCCGGTTACTTGTCCCGGGAGGCGGCCGGTGACGTCACGGACGGGGGGGACCGGAGCAGCTGCCCTCGGTGTCTCTCGGGGGGTGTCGGTGCTCGGCTTCCTCACCCCAACTGCCGCCACCCCCTCTGATCCCCCCAGACACCTGTCCCCACCTGTCCCACATCCACCTGTGCCCCTGTCCCCACCTGCCCCATGTCCCACTTGTCCCCCTTTGCCCCCACTTGTCCCCTGTCCCCACCTGTCCCCATCACCCCCCCCGTCCCCGTTCCTCCCCCTGTCCTCACCTGTTCTCGTCCCCAACTGCCCTGTCCCCCTACCTGTTCCCTTGTCCCCATGTCCCCACCTGCTCCCCTGTCCTCACCTGCCCCGTCTCCCCCTCTGCCCCATGTCCCCAGCTGCCCCCTGTGCCCCCACCTCCTCCCCTGTCCCCTCTGCCCCATGTCCCATCTGTCCCCCATCCCCACTTGCCCCATGTCCCCACACAGGGCACCCCATGTCCTCCCACCTGTCCCCTGTCCCTCTCCCCTCTCTGTCACACCCCCTGTCCCTTGTGACCCCCCAAACCCAGCCCGGGGGTGTCAGGGATGGGATGGGGATGTCAAGATGGGATGGGGGTGTCAGGATGGGATGGGGGTGTCAGGATGGGATGGGGGTGTCAGGGTGGGATGGGGGTGTCAGGGTGGGATGGGGGTGTCAGGGTCAGGATGGGGGTGTCAGGGACGGGATGGGGGTGTCAGGATGGGGGGGGGTGTCAGGGTGGGATGGGGGTGTCAGGGTCAGGATGGGGGTGTCAGAGTCAGGATGGGGGTGTCAGGGACGGTGTGGGGGTGTCAGGGTGGGATGGGGGTGTCAGGATGGGATGGGGGTGTCAGGGTCAGGATGGGGGTGTCAGGGTGGGATGGGGGTGTCAGGGTCAGGATGGGGGTGTCTGGGTCAGGGTGGGGGTGTCAGGGTCAGGGTGGGGGTGTCAGGGATGGGATGGGGGTGTCAGGGTGGGATGGGGGTGTCAGGGTCAGGATGGGGGTGCCCCCCAGCTGTGCCCCCCATTGCTGCTCCCCCATTGGGGTCGGGCTCTTTGGGGTCTGAGCCCTTTTTGTGTGGATTTCCCATTAAAACCCTGCGGGGGGGGGGGGGGGGAATGTCCCTGGGGGAGCTCGGGGGCACAGGGGGGGGGTTGGGGGTGCAGGGGGGTTGGGGAGCATTCCCTGGGGGAGGGGCAGGGTGGGGGATCTCGGGGTCCCCCACAAAACACCCAGCCTGGATCTTTGCACCTTTATTCAGCCTCCCCCCCACACCTGGGGGGGCTCTCGCTGCCCCAGCTTGGCCTGGGGTGCATGGGGGGGGGCTCTGTGTGTCCCCCCCAGTACCTGCACCCCCCCTGAGCCACATCCCTCAGCCTGGGGGGGCAGAGGCCTCCCGGGGGGGCTCCTGGGGGGGCTCCTCCCCGCACTGGAAGCGCAGGAAATCCCAGACCTGGAGCCCCCCCCTTTCCCGCAGGTACCGGCCCAGGGGCACCCCCGGCTCCAGGAGGGTCCCCTGGGCCAGCAGCCGCGTCTCGGTGTCACCTCCCAGCTCGTCCTCGGGGGTCCCCAGGGCGGTGGGGGCCATGCCCACCACGTGCTGGGCCACCCTGCGCCCCAGCTCGCGCAGCTCGGCCGGGGGGGGCCCCGGGCCCGGCCCCCCGCAAGCCACCAGCGCCCCGTAGGTGCCCATGGCCACGGCGGGCCCAGGGGGCACCCAGCCGTGGGCATAGGTGGCCACAAAGCCCCCGGGGGGGGCACGGAGCCACCCGGCCCGGCGCAGAGCCAAACGCTCGCCCAGGCGGCCTGGGGGGGACAGGGACAGAGGGGGGAAATGTCAGCACCCCCAAAAATGGGGAGGGAGAGGTCGTGGAGAGGTCACAGAGAGAGGGATTCCCCCCCCCCCCCCCCACACACACAAAAAGGGTCCTGGAGCAGCCAGAGCCCAGCCCTGGGACCCCAGGGAACAGCCCAGGGTGGAGGGGCTGGCACAGGGACTGGGAGCACTGGGGAAACTGGGAAGGGCGCTGGGAGCACTGGGGAGGGGCACTGGGGACACTGGGGAGGGCACTGGAACTGTCAGGCTCTGGGGAAACTGGGGGCATTGGGAGGCGCACTGGGAGTATCAGGTTCTGGGGGAACTGGGAGCATTGGGGGCACTGGGATGTACTGGGAGGGGCACTGGGAGGGGCACTGGGCACACTGGGATGTACTGGGAGAGGAACTGGGGACACTGGGGAAGGCACTGGAACTGTCAGGCTCTGGGGAAACTGGGGGCACTGGGAGGGGCACTGGGCACACTGGGAACACTGGGAGGGGCACTGGGGGCACTGGGAGGGGCACTGGGAGTATCAGGTTCTGGGGGAACTGGGAGCACTGGGACTGGCAGGCACTGTGGACACTGGGGAGAGGCACAGGGGGCACCGGGATGTACTGGGAGGGGCACTGGGCGCACTGGGAACACTGGGAGGGGCACTGGGATGTACTGGGAGGGGCATTGGGGGCACTGGGAGGGGCACTGGGCGCACTGGGAACACTGGGAGGGGCACTGAGATGTACTGGGAGGGGCACTGAGATGTACTGGGAGGGGCACTGGGCGCACTGGGAGGGGCACTGGGATGTACTGGGAGGGGCATTGGGGGCACTGGGAGGGGCACTGGGCACACTGGGATGTACTGGGCAGGGAACTGGGCACACTGGGATGTACTGGGGGCACTCACCCATGGCCAGTGCCAGGTGCTCGCTCAGCAGGTCCCCCCCGTCCGCTGCCCTCACCTGGGCCAGCTCCTCCTCTGGCAGCAGGAGCTGGGGAGAGGGGTCAGAGGGGCACCCCGACAGCCCTGGCACCCCCAAACACTGCCCTGCACCCCCAAAATCACCCCAAACACCCCCAACCCCTGCCCCAAGAGCCCCAAACCCTGCCCCAACAGCCCTGGCACCCCCAAACACTGCCCCTGGCACCCCTAAACACTGCCCCAAGAGCCCCAAACCCTGCCCCAACAGCCCTGGCACCCCAAACCCTGCCCCTGGCACCCCCAAACACCCCCAACCCCTGCCCCAACACCCCCAAACACTGCCCCATCATCCCCAAAACAAATCCCAACACCCCCAAACCCTGCCCCCAACAGCCCTGGCACCCCCAAACCCTGCCCCATCATCCCCAAACCCTCCCCCAACACCCCTAAACTCTGCCCCAACCCCCCTGGCATCCCCAAAACCTCCCCCAACATCTCTGGCACCCTCAAATCCTGCCCCAACCCCCCTGGGACCCCCAAACCTTGCCCCAATACCCCCAAACCCTGCCCCAACACTCCCAAACACCCCTAAATTCTACCCCAAGACCCTCAAACCCTGCCCAATACCCCCAAACCTTGCCCCTAAATTCTACCCCAACACCCCCAAACCTTGCCCCAACACCCCCAAACCTTGCCCCAACACCCCCAAAACCTCCCTCAACCCCCTGGCACCCTCAAACCCTGCCCTAGCACACCTGGCACCCCCAAACCCTGCCCCAACACCCCCAAACCCTGCTCCAACACCCCCAAACCCTGCTCCAACACCCTTGGCACCTCCAAAACTTCCCCTAACACACCCGGCACCCCATATTCCCCCAACAACCCAACACCATCTGTGCCACCCCAACTCCCCCAAGACCCCCAAACGCCCTGGCTGCCCAAACCCCCCCCTGGCTGCCCACCTTGGTGCCCGAGGCTCCCTGGCAGTGCCCCAGGACCCCCCTGGCTGCCATCTCCACCAGCTGCTGGAAGTCCGGGGTCCGCGCCACGAAATCCGTCTCGCAGTTCACCTGGGGGGACACGGTGACCCTGGGGACACAGAGACCCCCAGAGGGGACACAGGGACCCCCAGACCCCCCCTCACTCACCTCCACCATGACAGCGGCCGAGCCCTCGCTCAGGATCCCCACGAGCCCCTCCCGGGCCCGGGCAGCCCCAGGGGCAGCGGCTCGGGCCCAGCCCCGGCGGCGCGACTCGGCCTCGAGCCAGGCCTCAGCCTGGGGGACATGGGGGGGACAGGGCCAACTCAGTGTCCCCTGCACTGCCAGGGCCATCCCAGTGTCCCCCAGCACTGACAGGGTCACCCCAGCACTGACAGGGTCACCCCAGTGTCCCCATCACCACCCCTCAGCCTGGGTAGGACACAGGGAGGGGCACAGACCAGACCCAACCCTGCTGCCCTCCCACCCTCTGGTCCTGGTGCCCCAAAACCCCCCTGCCCCAGGGACCCCTTATCCCAAAGACCCCCTGCCCCAAGGATCCCTTATCCCAAACCCCCATGCCTAAAAGAACCCCCTGCCCCCAACAGCCCCTTCCCCGAAGATGCCCTGTCCCAGGCACCTCCTTCCCCAGGGTCCCCCTGTGCCAGGGACCCTCTGCCCCTGGGACCCCCTGCCCCAGGGACCCCTTCCCTAAAGACCCCCCTGCCCCATAGACACCCTGCCCCAGTGACCCCCTGTCCCAAAGAGCCCCTTCCCTAAAGACCCCTTTCCCTAAAGACCCCCTGCCCCAAAGACCACCGGCCTCAGGGACCCTCTTCCCCAAAGACCCCCCTGTGCCAGGCACCCCCTGCCCCGGGGAACCTCTGCTCCAGGAACCCCAGGCACCCCCTGCCCCAGGGACCCTCTGGCCATAGCCCCCCTTCCCCAAGGACCCTCTGCGACCCCCAGAGTCCCCCCCGCTCCCCATGCCTCTCCTGGTCCCCATTCTCCTCCCGGGTTCTGTGTCCCCCCGTGTCCCCCGTTGCCGCACCTGCCGCAGGTCGCCCCCCGCTCGCTCCAGCGCCTCCCGGCAGCGCATCACGGGCTGCCCGGTGCGCGCCCGCAGCTCCCGCAGCTCCCGCAGCGCCGGCGGGGCCGCGCTCAGCCAGCGGCCCGGGGGGGCCTGCGGGGCACGGGGGGGTCACGGACGGGCCTCAGGGGGGGGGCCCGAGGGGTGCGGGATGGGTACGGGGAGGGCCCGGTATGGCGGGGGGTGGGGGGGGTACCGGAGGTAGGGTGGGGAAGAGCGGTGGCGGGGGGCGATCGGGGATGGGCTGGGGGGTCCCGGGGCTGGAGGGGTCCCGGCGTTCCCGGTGGTGCCGGGACATGGGGTCCCGGGGCTGGGGTTCCCGGGGGTCCCAGGGCTGGGGTTCCCGGGGGTCTCGGGGCTAGGGGTCCGGGGACTGGGGGTTCCCGTGGGTCCCGGAGGTCCCGATGGTCCCAGTGCTAAGGGTCCCGGGGTTCCCGGTGATCCCAAGGCTGGGGAGTCCCGGTGGTCCCGGCGGTCCCAGGGCTGGGGGTCCCCGGGTTCCCGGTGGTCCCGGGGGTCCCGGTCTCACCCGCGCCGCCCCCCCGAGCGCGCCCAGCGCCGCGCGCTGCATCCCGGCCTGCCCGTGGCGCGCCGCGTGACGTCACGCCACACCGGGCAGTGACGGCCCCGCGCTACGGGCGCCGGGAAGGGTCAGGGCGCGGGGCCGCGATTGGCTGCCGCGTGTGTGTGACGTCACACGGGCGCCACGGAGGTGCGGGATTGGCTGAGGGGAATTGGGGGGGGGGGGCTCGAAATGCCCCCCCCCCCCGAACCACCCCCCGCACCCGAGAGACCCCCAGCCCTCACAGACCCCCAGACCCGCACAACGCCCCCCCCGACCCTCACAGACCCTCAGAGACCCCCGGCCCTCATAAACCCTAGACCCTCACAAACTCCCACAGACCACCCCTGACCTTCACAGCCGCCCCAGCCTCAAAGACCCCCGACCCTCAAAAAGCCCCCTGACCCTCACTGACACCCCCCGACCCTCACAGACCCCCCCTGATCCTCACAGACTCCCCACAGCCTCAGAGACCCCCGACCCCCTCTGGCCCTCACAGATCCCCCTGACCCCCACAGATCCCCGGCCCTCACAAAGCCCTCGGCCCTCACAGACCCCAGACCCTCACAAAGCCCCCCAGCCTCACAGACACTCCGCCCTCCCACCCACTCAGACTGCCCTGACCATCACAGACCCCCCTGGCCCTTACACAGCCCCAACCTCACAGACCCCAGCCCCTCACACACCCCCTCAACCTCACAGACCCCTGACCCTCACAGACCCCCGATCCTCACAGACCCCCCCACCCTATCCAGTCCTCCCGGCCTGTCCCCTTCCCCAAACCCCCTCCAAATCACACACAGAGCCTGAACTGCGACCCTCGGCACCATTTAATCCCCGGTAAGGGACCCCAGCCCAGGCCTGCCCTGCTCCGGGGCTCTGTCCTGCGGGGTGAGGGACCCCAGCCCGGGCCTGCCCTGCTCCGGGGCTCTGTCCTGCGGGGTGAGGGACCCCAGCCCGGGCCTGCCCTGCTCCGGGGCTCCGTCCCGCGGGGTGACCGCGTAGATCTCGATGTCCCGCTCGGGCTCCCGCCGCAGCAGCCGCACCCCGAAGAAGGGCGGCAGCAGCTGCCGGAAGAAGCGGGCGGCCCCGGCCTCGCCGCCGCGCAGGCGGGCGCTGAGCAGCGCCTGGGCCGGCGGCACCAGCAGGTGCCGGAGGGTGCCCAGCAGCGGAGCGAAGGAGCGGGGGTCGTACACGATGTCGGAGCCCAGGATGAGGTGGAATTTGGGCGGGAAGCGGCGCTGGTCGCGGCCCCAGCGCAGCGCCCGCACCCGCGGCCCCGCCGCGCCCCCCGGGAAGTTGAGCCGAGCGTTCTCCCGGAGCTGCGGCAGCGCCGGCGGCCGGTCCGTGAGCGTCACCTCGGCCCCTGCAGGGCAGCGCGGCCGTCAGAGGGTACAGCCCCCCGGTAACCCCCCCAGAACACAATTAACCGTGGGTCAGTGGGTGGGTCATCCCTGGGACCCCCACCCCAAAATCACAGTAAAACCCTGAGCCAGAGTGAGGAACAGCCCCACCCCAAAATCCCAGTAAATCCCCTCACATCCCGTAAAACCTGGAGACAGAGTGAGCAACACCCCCTGGGACCCCCACCCCAAAATCACAGTAAAACCCCTGAGTCAGAATGAGGAACACCCTCTCAGAGCCCCCACCCCAAAATCCCAATAAACCCCCCACATCCTATAAAACCCTGAGCCAGAGTAAGAAACACCCCCTGGGACCCCCCAATCCCAAAACCACACTAAAACCCCTGAGCCAGAGTGAGGAACATCCCCTTGGAACCCCATCCAAAAATCCCAGTAAAGCCCGCTGAGCCACAGTGAGGAACATCCCCTTGGAACCCCATCCAAAAATCCCAGTAAAGCCCCCTGAGCCACAGTGGGGAACATCCCCTTGGAACCCCATCCAAAAATCCCAGTAAACCCCCGCCCATATCCCATAAAACCCTGAGCCAGAGTGAAGAACACCCCCACTGGATCTCCCCAAACCCTCCCCGACCCCAATAAACCCCAAACCTAAAGGTGGGGGGACGGGGGGTAACCACCCGTGGCCCCCCCAGATCCCAATAAACTCTAGGGCTGCTCACACCAGTTTCCAGTTCTGTACTGGCTGGGGGAACGGGGATCCCCCCCACCCACGGGTGTCCCCCACAGGTGTCCCCCCAGCCCAGGTGTCCCCCCACCCCTCGCGTGCCCCCCGTACCCAGCATGGCAGCGAAGATGCCCACGATGCCGGTACCGGCCCCCAGCTCCAGCACCCGCCGCCCCGCCAGCTCCAGGTTCTGCTCGCCCAGGAACCGGCACAGGGACAGGGCCTGGGGGGGCACAGAGGGGACACTGGGGGGGGACCCAGCCCATGGGAGACCCCCTGAACCCCAAAGCCCTCCCACCGCTTCTTCTTGTGCCCCCAGGATCCCCCCCGGTCCTCCCACGGCCACCGCGGTGCCCCCCGAGCGGCCACCACGGCCCGGGATGCCCAGTGTGCCCATTCCCGGTGCCCCCTCCGGTGTTCCCCATTCCCCCCATGACTCGGTAGCCCCCACCCCAATCACGCATCGCTCCCGGTGCCCACCGTGGTGTCACCCCCCGGTACCCCCGTTCTCTCGGGGTCCCCCATTGCCCATCCCTCCTGCCACCCCCGGGATGTCCCGTGTGTCCCTCCCGGGATCCCCCGCCATCCCATCACTCCCGGTACGCCCGGGATGTCACCTCCCCCCTCCCGGTGTCCCCGACAGCCCCGTACCCGCGGGATCCCCCGGCTTCCCCATCACCCGCTGTCCCCCGGGATGTCACCCACAGCCCCGGGATTTCCCCCGCGGTCCCGGTGCCGCTCACCGCCTCCCAGACGGCCCCGGCGGGCCCGAGCCGCGGCCCGTGGTGCTCGGCGATGTGCAGGACGCGCCCGCACAGCCGGAACCGGCGCCGCTCCGGGAAGAACTCGGAGAAGAGCTCGGGGTCCCGGGGGAACACGGCCCGCAGCGCCGCTTCTGCTTCTTCTCCTTGCTCCTCTTCCTCTTCCTCTTCCTCTTCCTCTTCCTCTTCCTCTTCCTCTTCCCCGTTCTCTTCCTCCTCCTCCCGCCCCCCCCCCGGTCCCCACGTGGCACCCGGGCGCCGCCATCGTGGAAGGGGCGGGGCCAGGTCGAGCCCCCCGAACCTGATTGGTCAATCCGGTTAAGCCACGCCCTCCTCTGCAGGTGATGGGGCTCCGCCCACGGCGCGCGCTCTGTCGCGGTCGCGGGGCGGGGGGGTCGGTGTTCCCCGATATCCCTCGGTGTCCCCTTCCCCATCCCGGTGTCCCTCAATGTCCCTGGATGTCCCCCGATATCCCTCGGTGTCCCCGGGTGTTCCCCAGCGTCCCTAAATGATCCCTGATATCCCCCGGTGTTCCCTGGTGTCTCCCAATGTCCCCCGATATCCCCTGCTGTCCCCTTCCCCATCCCGGTGTCCCCTGCCCTATCCCACTGTCCCCTGTCCCATCCCACTGTCCCCTTCCCCCCTGCCCTTGGTGGCTGCTGTCCCCAATGTCCCCAGGCCATCCCTGGACACCCCACGTCCCCTGTCCTGCCCCACCCCTGGTGTCCCCTGGCTCTCCACCCCTGTCCCCAGTGTCACCCCAGCAGTCCCAGCCCTGTCCCCAGTGTCACCCCAGCAGTCCCTCCAGGGGTTCTTCCTAATGCCACCACCTGTCCCTGTCCTAGTGCCACCAGTGCCACGGGTATCACTACAGCCCTGGGGCCCTGATGTCCCTGATGCCAGTGTCCTCAGTTCCTGCTGTCCATGTCCCTGTCACACCCGTGTCCCTGTCACACCCATGTCCCTCCCGTCCATGTCCCTGTCACACCTGTGTCCCTGTCACACCTGTGTCCCCAATTCCCATGTCCCCATCCCACCCGTGTCCCTCCTGTCCGTGTCCCTGTCCCATCTATGTCCCAAGTCACTGTGTCCCTGTCACACCCGTGTCCCTGTCATACTCATGTCCCTGTTGTCCATGTCCCTGCTGTGTCCCTGCTGTCTGTGTCCCTGTCCCACCCGTGTCCCTGTCCCCATGTCCCTGTTCCCCTGGTGTCCCTGTCACACCCATGTCCCTGCTGTCTGTCCTGTCACACCTGTGTCCCCAGTCCCCGTGTCCCTGCTGTCCATGTCCCTGTCCCTGTGTCCCTGTCCCACCCATGTCCCTGTCCCCATGTCCCTGTTCCCCTGGTGTCCCTGTCACACCCATGTCCCTGCTGTCTGTGTCCTGTCCCAGTGTCCCTGTCCCACCCGTGTCCCTGTTCCCCTGGTGTCCCTGTCCCCTGCCATTCCTTTGTCCCCATGTCCCCAGCCCTGGTGCCTTGCCCATCGTGTACCTGTCCCCATGTCCCTCATCCTGATGTCCCTGGTGCCACCGCACGGGTGTGACGGCCGTGTTCTCGGTGCCACTGTGCGGGGTGTCCCAGACCCGTCCCCGGTGCCACCGTGAGAGTGTCCCGGACCCGCCTCTGGTGCCACCGTGCGGGTGTCCCGGACCCGCCCCCGGTGCCACCAGCGCGGTTGTCACAGTCCCGTCCCCGGTGCCACCCGAGCCGGGCTCCCCGGGCTCCCGGTGACCGGGGCTGAGGGGGTGACCCCGGGGTAATGAACAACCCGCCCCGACCCCCTCCGTGTCCCCCCCGTGTTCCCTCCGTGTCCCCGCCGGGACCCCCCGCGCAGCCGCGTCACCGCCTGCGTCACCGGGTTAATGTGGCCCCGGGGGACACCGGGGGGGCAGCGCTGGGGCAGAGCGACCCGGGGGGGGTCACGGGGACCGGGGGGGTCAGAGCGACCCGGAGGGGTCACAGGGACCTGGGGGGGTCACAGGGACCGGGGGGTCAGAGCGACCCGGGGGGGGTCACAGAGACCGGGGGGGTCAGAGCGACCCGGGGGGGGGTCACGGGGACCGGGGGGGTCAGAGCGACCCGGGGGGGGTCACAGGGACCGGGGGGGGTCACAGCGCTGGGGGAGGGGTCGGTCCCCGCGTTCCCCCGTTCCCCCGTGCCCCGGCCCGGGACCCCAGCCCGGAGCCGTTCCGGGCAGCCCCGGAGGGACCGGCCGGGAAGGGACGGGATGGGAATGGACAGGAAGGAACCGGCTGGGAAGGGACGGGAGGCTCCGGCCCCACATTGCTCAACCCCCCCGACACCCCCGGGGGTTCCCAGAACTCGCCCCCGGTCTGGCCGCAGCCGAATTCCCCAAACGGCCCCGAGCGGGAAGAGCCCGCGGAGGGGGGGACTGGGGGGACTGGGGGGACTGGGAGCGCTGGAGGTACTGGGGTGACTGGGGAGGGACTGGAGGGACTGGGGGGACTGGGGGGGTTGGGGGGACTGCAATCCCTGGGGGAACTGGGGAGACTGGGGGGAACTGGGGAGGGGCTGGGGGCACTGGGGACTGACTGCACTGGAGGCACTGGGGGAACAGGGGGAGCTGGAGGGACTGGGGGGAACTGGGAGCACTGAAGGGACTGGGGGGACTAGGATCCCTGGGAGCGTTAGGGGCACTGGGAAGGACTGGGGAGGACTGGGAAGAACTGGGAGCACTGGAAGGACTGGGGGGGGGGGGGGCGCACCAGGGGGCACTGGAAGAACTTGAGAGGACTGGGGGGGTTGGGGTACTGGGGGGCATCAGGGGGCACTGAGACCACTGGGAGGAACTGTGAGCACTGGGGAGGGTCACTGGGGGGTCTTGGAGCACTGGGAGCACTGGGAGAATTGGGGGCACTGGGAGCACTGGGAAGGGCACTGGGGAGGGGCTCTGGCAGCACTGGGGGACACTGGTGGGGGCACTGGGAGCACTGGGGGGGGCACTGCTTATACTGGGAGCACTGGGGGGAGGCCCTGGGAGCACTGGTTGTACTGGAGGGCACTGGGGAGGCCCTGGGAGCACTGGTTATACTGGGAGCACTGGTTGTACTGGGAGCACTGGTTGTACTGGGAGCACTGGTTGTACTGGGCCACCAGGGGGCACTGTCACCTCCAGGCGGGGCTCGCTCCGCTGACATATCGCGCGTGACGTCACAATCCCGCGCCGCGCAGTGACGTCACTGCAACGCGCCGCGCGGTGCCGGCATGGCGGCGGCCGAGGAAAAGGAGGAGGCGGCGGTGCCGCCACAGAAACGCTTCTACCGACAGCGCGCGCACTCGAACCCGCTGGCCGACCACACCCTGTGCTAGTGAGTGCGGGGACCCCCGGGAACCGCCCCGGAACTCCCCCGGAACCCCCCGGAACCTCCCCCGGTAACACCCGCGCCGGGTCCCGGGACCGCCCCAGTGCCCGCGGCGGCACCCCCAGGCCGTGAGGGCCCCGGGACCCCCGTGATGGCCCCGTGTGGCACCGCAGTCACCTGGCCGCCCCCAGGAACAGCCGGGCTGGGTCCCCCTGCCCTTGTGTCCCCCCCGATGCCCCCTCCGGTTCCTGGGCAGTCACAGCCCCGGTGCCCGCTCCGGTTCCCGGGCAGTGACAGCCCCCGGTGCCCGCTCCGGTTCCCGGGCAGTCACGGTTCCCCGGTGCCCGCAGCCCGTCCCGCCCTCAGGACATGGACTGGGCCTCGCTGTTCCCGAGTTTTTTCCCGCCCGAAGCCCCCCCCGGGACCCCCCCGGCCCGCGTGGAGTTCGCAGATGTGGGGTGCGGCTACGGGGGGCTGCTGGGTGAGCCCGGGCACCGGGGGGCACGGAGGGCACCGGGGGTGGGCATGGGGGGCTGGGGATGGGCACGGGGGCACCGGGAGCTGCTGGGTGAGCCCGGGGGCTGCGGGTGGGCACGGGGATTGCGGGTGAGGGGGCACCGGGGGCTGCTGGGGGGGCACGGGTGGCGAGGGGGGCACGGAGGGGCACAGCCGGGGGCACGGCGGGGTCAGGGTGGGACAGGCGGTGCCGCCGGGGCTCTCTCTGTCTGTCTGTCTGTCTGTCTGTCTCTCACCTGTTCTCTTTCTCCCGGGGCTCTGACCAAGTCTCCCTCTCCCTCCGGGACTCTCACATGGTCTCTCTCTCTCTCTTTCTCTCTGACCGGGTTTTTCTCTGTCTCTCTCCCTCAGTCTCTCTTTCTCTCCCGGGTCTCTCTCCCTCTTCCTCTCTCTCTTTTTCTCTCTCCCCAGCTCTCACGCTCTCTCTCTCTCTCTCTCTCTCTCTCTCTCCCCGACTGGGTTTCTCTCCCTCTCTCACCGGGTTTTCCCCTCTCTCTCCCGCCCCCAGTGGCTCTCTCGGACCTGTTTCCCCGCTCTCTGGCGCTGGGTTTGGAGCTGCGGGGGAAGGTGGCCGCGTTCACCCGCGCCAGGATCCGGGCGCTGCGGGCGGCCCAGCCCGGCCGCTTCGGCAACGTGGCCTGCGTGAGGGGCAACGCCATGAAACACCTGCCCCACTTCTTCCTGCGGGGCCAGGTGGGGCTGGGGGGCACAAACCAACGGTGCTGGGATTGCTGTGTGCCCTGAACCCACCACAAACCCCCAGTGCTGGGATTGCTGTGTGTCCTGAACCCACCACAAACCCAACAGTGCTGGGATTGCTGTGTGCTCTGAACCCACCACAAACCAACAGTGCTGGGATTGCTGTGTGCCCTGACAGTCCTGAGAGCCACAAACCCTCAGTGCTGGGATTGCTGTGTGCCCTGAACCCACCACAAACCCTCAGTGCTGGGATTGCTGTGTGCTCTGAACCCACCACAAACCCTCAGTGCTGGGATTGCTGTGTGCCCTGAACCCACCACAAACCAACGGTGCTGGGATTGCTGTGTGCCCTGAACCCACCCTGAGAGCCACAAACCCCCAGTGCTGGGATTGCTGTGTGCTCTGAACCCATCCTGAGAGCCCCCAAACCCTCAGTGCTGGGATTGCTGTGTGCCCTGAACCCACCCTGAGAGCCACAAACCCAACAGTGCTGGGATTGCTGTGTGCCCTGAACCCACCACAAACCAACAGTGCTGGGATTGTTGTGTGCCCTGAACCCACCACAAACCCTCAGTGCTGGGATTGCTGTGTGCCCTGAACCCACCCTGAGAGCCCCCAAACCCACAGCACCCCCCAAAGCTTCCTGCAATTTCTGTGTGCTCTGAACCCACCCCAAAACTCCCCAAAACCTGCAGCATCTCCCCCAACACACCCTGAAATTTCTGTGTGCTCTGAACCCACCCTGAGAGCCCCAAACCCCAACATTCCTACAAATTTCTGTGTTTTCTGAGGCCCCCCAAACCCGCAGCACTCCCCTTAACACTGCTGGGAATTCCTCTGAACTCCACCCCAAAACCCCTCCAAAACCCAACAGTCCCTGAAATTTCTGTGTGCTCTGAGCTCCACCCCAAAACCCCACAGTCCCTGGGACTTCTGTGTGCCCTGAACCCACCCTGAGAGCCCCCAAACCCTCAGTTCTGGGAATTTCTGTGCCCTTTGAGACCCCCCAAAATCCACAGCAACCCCCTTAACACTGCTGGGAATTTCTGTGTCCTCTGACCCACCCCGAGACTCCCCAAAACCTGCAGCATCTCCCCCAACACACCCTGAAATTTCTGTGTGCTCTGAACCCACCCTGAGAGCCCCAAACCCCAACACTCCCACAAATTTCTGTGTTTTCTGAGGCCCCCCAAACCTGCAGCACTCCCCTTAACACTGCTGGGAATTTCTGTGTCCTCTGAACTCCACCCCAAAACCCCTCCAAAACCCAACAGTCCCTGAAATTTCTGTGTGCTCTGAGCTCCACCCCAAAACCCCACAGTCCCTGGGACTTCTGTGTGCTCTGAACCCACCCTGAAAGCCCCCAAAACCCAACAGTGCTGGGAATTTCTGTGCCCTTTGAGACCTCCCAAAATCCACAGCAACCCCCTTAACACTCCTGGGAATTCCTGTGTCTTCTGAAATCCCCCCAAACCCACAGCAAGGCCCCCAAACTTCCTGCAATTTCTGTGTGCTCTGAACCCACCCAGAGGCCCCCCAAATCCACAGCACTCCCCTTAACACTGCTGGGAATTTCTGTGTCCTCTGACCCACCCTGAGACTCCCCAAAACCTGCAGCATCTCCCCCAACACACCCTGAAATTTCTGTGTGCTCTGAACCCACCCTGAGAGCCCCAAACCCCAGCACTCCCACAAATTTCTGTTCTCTGAACCCCACCCCAAAACCCCACAGTCCCTGGGATTTCTGTGTGCTCTGAACCCACCCTGAGAGCCCCAAACCCCAGCACTCCCACAAATTTCTGTTCTCTGAACCCCACCCCAAAACCCCACAGTCCCTGGGATTTCTGTGTGCTCTGAACCCCACCCTGAGAGCCCCCAAACCCAACAGTGCTGGGATTTCTGTGTGCTCTGAGCCTACCCTGAGAGCCCCAAACCCCACAGCACCCCCCAAAGCTTCCTGGGATTTCTGTGTGCTCTGAGACCCCCCCAAACCCCCAGCACCCCCTTAACACTCCCTGAAATTTCTGTGTGCTCTGAACCCACCCTGGGAGCCCCCAAACCCTCGGGGCCCTGTGGAACACCTGCCCTCCCCCCCTTCCCCTGGGACCCCCCTGAACCCCCCCCAAAGCCCCCTCCAAACCCCCCTGAACCCCCCCCCAAAGCCCCCTCCCCTCCAGGGACACCCCTCAGCCCCCAGGACCCTTCTGGGGGGGAACTGGGCAGCACTGGGGGGGTTTGGGGTGGCACTGGGGGTGGCACTGGGGGTTTGGGGTGGCACTGGGAGTTATGGGGTGGCACTGGGAGGGTTTCAGGGTGATACTGGGGGCTGTGGGGTGGTACTGGGGGCGGCACTGGGGGCTGTGGGGTGGCACTGGGGCACAGGTCCCCCCACAACACCCCTTGGACCCCCTTAGGACCCCCCTGCCCATCCCACAGGACGCCCCCATCCCCATTCCCCTGGCCTGGGCTGCACTCCCAGGGGGGTTTGGGGGGTCTGGGGGTTTTGGGGGGCAGTGCCAGGGGGTGCTGACCCCCCCATCGGTGCCCCCCCAGCTCTCCAAGCTGTTTTTCCTGTTCCCTGACCCCCATTTCAAGCGCACCAAGCACAAGTGGAGAATCATCAGCCCGGCCATGCTGGCAGAGTACGGCTTCGTGCTGCGGCCTGGGGTGAGACCCCCGACCCCTGGGACCCCCTGAACCTCCTGAGACCCCCTGAAACCCCCTGAAATCCCCCCAAACTCCCTGAGCCCTCCTGAGACCCCCTGAACCTCCTGAGACCCCCTGAAACCCCCCCAAACTCCCTGAGACCCCCTGAGCCCTCCTGAACCTCCTGAGACCCCCTGAAACCCCCCTGAGACCCCCTGAGCCCTCCTGAACCTCCTGAGACCCCCTGAAACCCCCCCAAACTCCCTGAGACCCCCTGAGCCCTCCTGAAACCCCTCTGAGCTCCTAAACCCCCTGAGACCCCCCCTGAACCTCCTGAGACCCCCCTGAACCTCCTGAGCACCCCCAACCCTGAGACCCCCTGAAATCCCCAAAACCCCCTGGGCCCCTTTGAGCCCCCAACCCTGAAACTCCCCTGAAACCCCCCCAAACCTCCTGAGACCCCCCTGAGCCCCCCCTGAGCCCCCTGAGCTCCTAAATCCCCTGAGACCCCCCTGAAACCTCCCTGAGCCCCCCCCCAAACCCCCTGAGACCCTTTGAAGCCCCCCTGAAACCCCCAAAACCCCCTGGGCCCCTCTGAGCCGCCAACCCTGAAACTCCCCTGAAACCCCCTCCAAACCTCCTGAGCCCCCCTGAAATCCCCCCAGAACCTTCTGAGCCCCCCTGAAACCTCCTGAGCCCCAAACCCCCTGAGCCCCTCAAAGCCCCTGAGTCCCCCTTGCCCCCCCAAACCCTGAGCCCCCCTGAAACCCCCCCCAGAACCTCCTGAGCCCCCTGAAACCCCCCTGAGCTCCTAAATCCCCTGAGACCCCCCTGAAACCCCCTGGGACCCCCCCAAACCCCCTGAGACCCCCTGAAACTCCCCTGAGCACCCCCAAGCCCCCAACCCTGAGACCCCCTGAAACCCCCAAAACCCCCTGGGCCCCTCTGAGCCCCCAACCCTGAAACTCCCCTGAACCCCCCTCAAACCTCCTGAGACCCCCTGAGCCCCCCCTGACCCCCCTGAAACCCCCCAGAGGTGTCCCTATGGTTTTTGGGTACACAGGGCTTGGGGTACACTCTGGTTTTTGGGGTACACACTGTTTTCAGGGTGCAGGGTCTGGTGTACACGGTAGTTTTGGGGTACACGGTGTTTTTGGGGTACATTCTGGTTTTTGGGGTCCCCAGGGCCTGGTGTACTCGGTGTTTTTGGGGTACACTGTGATTTTTGGGGTGGAGGGCCTAGTGTACACGGTGTGTGCTTTTGGGGTACCCAGGGTCTGGTGTACCTGGTGTTTTGGGGGTGTCACTGTGTTTTTGGGGTGCAGGGCCTGGTGTACACAGGGTGTTTTGGGGGTACACTCTGTTTTTGGGGTGTCACAGTGGTTTTTGGGGTGCAGGGCTTGTTGTACACGGTGTTTTGAGGGTACACTCTGGTTTTTGGGGTGCAGGGCCTGGTGTACACGGTGTTTTTGGGGTACACTCTGGTTTTGGGGTGTCACAGTGGTTTTGGGGGTACACTCTGTTTTTGGGGTGCAGGGCCTGCTGTACACGGTGTTTTGGGGGTACACTCTGGTTTTTGGGGTGTCACAGTGGTTTTTGGGGTGCAGGGCTTGTTGTACACGGTGTTTTGGGGTACACTCTGGTTTTGGGGTGTCACAGTGGTTTTTGGGGTGCAGGGCCTGGTGTACCCGGTGTTTTTGGGGTACACTCTGGTTTTGGGGTGTCACAGTGGTTTTGGGGGTACACTCTGGTTTTTGGGGTGCAGGGCCTGGTGTACACGGTGTTTTTGGGGTACACTCTGGTTTTGGGGTGTCACAGTGGTTTTTGGGGTACACTCTGGTTTTGGGGTGTCACAGTGGTTTTTGGGGTGCAGGGCCTGGTGTACACGGTGACGGACGTGCCCGAGCTGCACCAGTGGATGCTGCAGCATTTTGGGGAGCACCCCCTGTTCGAGCCCCTGCCCCCCGCCCAGCTGGTGAGGGCAACTGGGGAAACTGGGGGGAACTGGGGGGAACTGGGGGGAATGGGGGGAACTGGGGGGAACTGGGGGAAATTTGGGCCAGTGGGGGAAATTAGGGGGAACTGGGGAGGCACTGGGGGAACTGGGGGTTATGGGGTGACCGTGGGGTTATGGGGTGGCACTGGGGGGGGTTTTGGGGTGGCCCTGGGGCGCAGCGGGACCCTCACACAGGGGCAGCGCGGGGCTCACTGGGGATGTGCCCGGTGTCCCTGGGCTGGCTCTGATGATGTCCCCCCGCTGTCCCCTCACTGTCCCTGACGCTGTCCTGGTGTCTCGGTGTCCCGCGTTGTCCCCGCTGTCCCCGCTGTCCCCTCGCTGTCCCACTGTCCCCTCGCTGTCCCATTGTCCCCGCTGTCCCCTCACTGTCCCACTGTCCCCTCACTGTCCCACTGTCCCCTCGTTATTCCGCTGTTCCCCTGTTGTCCCTGTTGTCCCCCTGCTGTCCCGCTGTCCCTGACTCTGTCCCGCTGTCCCCTTGCTGTCCCCTCGCTGTCCCACTGTTCCCCCATTGTCCCCGCTATCCCCTCGCTGTCCCCCCGCTGTCCCCCCGCTGTCCCGGTGTCCTGTTGTCCCCGCTGTCCCCTCGCTGTCCCACTGTCCCCTCGCTGTCCTGCTGTCCCCCCGTTGTTCCCGTTGTCCCCGCTGTCTCCTCGCTGTCCCGGTGTCCCGTTGTCCCCGGTGTCCCTGGCGCTGTCCCGGTGTCTCCTCGCTGTCCCGCTGTTCCCCCATTGTCCCCGCTGTCCCCCCGCTCTCCCCCCGGTGTCCCGGTGTCCCCGCTGTCTCCTCGCTGTCCCGCTGTTCTCCCGGTGTCCCTGACTCTTCTGTCCCGTTGTCCCTGCTGTCCCCTCACTGTCCCACTGTCCCCTCGCTGTCCCGCTGTTCCCCCGTTGTCCCCGCTGTCCCCCCGGTGTCCCGCTGTTCCGCTGTCCCGCTGTCCCCGCTGTCCCGTTGTCCCCGTTGTCCCCTCGCTGTCCCCTCGCTGTCCCCTCGCTGTCCCGCTGTCCCCGTTGTCCCCTGGCTGTCCCCAGGCCGCGGACCCGCTGCTGCCGCTGCTGCCGGCGGTGACCGAGGAGGGGCAGCGGGCGCGGCGGGCGGGGCGCCCCCCCAGCACCGCCGTGTTCCGCCGCCGCCCCGACCCCCCCGCGGCGCCGTGACCCCCCCCGACCCCCCCCCCCTTTTTGTAATAAAGTCACAAAATGTCCCCAAGGCTGCTCGGGGGGGCCCCGGTGCCCCAAGCCCGGCCTGGCGCTGGTTCCTGCCTCAGTTTCCCCATCGCAGAAACCCCCGGGGGTGGCGGTGCCGCTCCCCCCCCGCGCCCCGGGGCCTTCCCGGGGCTTCCCGGGGCTGCCGGGCGGGAATTCCCGGGAATCGGGACCGGGGGGAGGGGGGGGCAGCCGTGTGCGCCCCCCGGGACCGAACGGGGGTCACTGGAGAGACGGGGGCGGGGTCCCCTCCCCCCCCCCCCACCCGCACCCCGAAACACCCCCGGAGGGGGTGGGGGGGACGGTCTGGGGGGCCGGGGGGGTTTTGGGGTGCCGGGGATTTCACCGGGGGTGAAACCGAGGAGGTTTGGGGTTCTGAGGGTGTCACCGGGGGGGTTTTGGGGTGCCAGGGATGTCCCCGGGGGGTGCCGGGGGTGTCGCTTGGGGGCTTTGGGGTGCCGGGGGTGTCACCGGGGAGGTTTTGGGGTTCTGGGGGTGTCACCGGGGGGTTTGGGGTACTGAGGGTGCCACCGGCCGTATTTGGGGTGCCGGGGGTGTCACCGGGGAGATTTTGGGGTTCTGCGGGTGTCACCGGGGGATTTGGGGGTGTCACCGAGTAGGCTGGGGGTGTCACCGGCGGTGTCACAGGGGAATCTGGGGTTGTCACCGGGAGGATTTTGGGGTTGTCACCCGCTGGGGTTTGGGGTTCTGGGGTTGTCACCCGCTGGGGTTTGGAGTTCTGGGGGTGTCACCTGGGTTGCCGGGGGTGTCTCAGGGGATTTTGGGGTGCCGGGGATTACCGGGAGGGTTTGGGGTCTCGGGGCCATGCGCGCCCCCGGTTCTGCCCTCGCGTGCGCGCGCCTTGGGGGCGGGGCCACGGAGCCGCCCCCGCCGCGCGCTGATTGGCTCGAAGGCCCCGCTATGCAAATCAGCAGCTGGGGGGCTTGGCCTGGACATTTGGGGCGGGGCGTGGATCCCAATTTGGTGTCGTGGGGCGTGGTTAATCCCCGGTGGGCGGGGCTTCTGCGGAGGGGGCGGGGCCTGCCCGGCTGCACGTGGGCGCTATAAAACCCCGGCCCGGGGTCCCCCCTTCAGTCGAGGCTCGGCCCCGCGGCCCCCCCGAACCCCACTGGGTCCCCCCGGGTCCCCCCGAGCCCTCCCGTGTTCCCACCGGGTTCCCCCAAATCCCCCCGTGTCCCCGCCGGGTCCCGCAGCGCCCTCCCGCCTCCCCCGGTGTCACCGCTGCCCTTCCCCGGTGTCCCCGGTGCCCCCCGAGCCCCGGTGCCCCGCCATGTCCCCCGGCCTCCGCCTGCCCGCCCGGGCCGCGCTCCTGTCCCGCTCCCCGCCCGAGCCGGGGCTGCCCCGGGCTCCCCCGGTCCCCTCCGTCTCCTCCCCGCTGCCCCGGGGCTCCCCGGAGCCCTCCCGGCCCCGGGGCCTGGCCGAGATGCCGGGGCCGAGCTCCGCCGCCTTCATCTTCGAGCTGCTGTGCCGGGGGGGCGTGCGGAGGCTGCACGAGATGCAGGTAAATGGGGCTGGGGGCTCCGCAGGAGGAGGAGGAGGAGGGGGGGGGCATTGCCGCTGCTCCGGAGCCCGGGGGGGCCCCGCTCCCCTGTCCTGGGGTATGGAGGAGATGGGGGGACCCAGCGGGAGCCGGGGACACCCGCCTGGTGTCACCGTCCTGGCTGGAGGGACATCAGAGCCATCACCGCGAGTGTCGGAGGGGACAGGAGGGACCGCGCTCCTCCCGCCCGGGGGTGACACGGGACAGGGGACGCGGATCTCTGTCCCCGGGGCTGCGTGGGGTCGGGACACCCCGAGCTGCCCCCGGGACTTGCGGGGGTGGCGCTGGGACCCCCGAGCTGGGCACGGCCAGAGCAGCCTCGGTTCGGGGGCGCTGGGAGCGGGGGAGAGCAGCGGGGACGGGGACGGGGCCACCCCCGGGTGGGCACAGAGGGACGGGGACGGGGCCACCCCCGGGTGGGCACAGAGGGACAGGGACGGGGCCACCCCCGGCTGGGCAGTGGCACCGAGGCCAGGCCACCCCCGGGGGGGTCACAGCAGGTCCGGGAGCGCAGGGACGCCAGGACCTCCCGCTCCTGTCCCGCTCCCGGTGTGCCCCCGGTGCCCCCTCAGCCCCGCCCGGCTGCCGGTCCCCGCTCAATGCGGGGCTGCTGGGGCTGCTGTGACCCCCCCCGTGTCCCCCCCACGGTGACAGCCCGGTCCGGGTTCGGGCCGGTGTGACGTGTGAACCCCCCCGTGTCCCCACACGGTTTATGCCCGGTCCATACCCGGTGCCGGTTCCGGCCCGGTGTAAACCCCGTGTCCCCAGAGGTCCATGTCCGGTCCCGGTCCGGCCCGGTGTGACCCCCCCGTGTCCCCGCAGGTCCATGGCCGGGCCCGGTTCGGCCCGGTGTGACCCCTCCCTGTCCCCGCAGGTCCATGGCCGGGCCCGGTCCGGCCCGGTGTGACTCCCCCGTGTCCCCGCAGGTCCATGGCCGGGCCCGGTTCGGCCCGGTGTGACCCCCCCGTGTCCCCGCAGGTCCATGGCCGGGCCCGGTTCGGCCCGGTGTGGCGGGCCCGCTTCGGCCCGGTGCTCACGGTTCACGTGGCCGAGCCCGCGCTCGTGGCCCAGGTGCTGCGGCAGGAGGGCCCCGAGCCCCGGCGCGCCCTCAGCTGCCCCTGGAAGCAGCACCGGGAGCTGCGGGGGGCACCGGGGGGGCTCCTGACCCTGTGAGTGCCGGGATTGGGGGCAAATCTGGGGGTGGATTTGGGGGAAAATTGGGGGATATTTGCGGTGGGTTTGGGAAAAATTTGGGGCAATTTGGGGGAAACTCAGCGGGGATTTGGGGATTTGTCCCTGTCCCCGGCGGGCGCTTGGGCGGAGCTGCCCGGGGGGGGTTTGGGCTGGGTTGGGGGTCGGGGGCTGCACTGGGGGGGTCGGGGGCTCCCTGTGGGATTTGGGGGGGTCGGGGGCTGCCTGTGGGATTTGGGGTGGTCGGGGTTCCCTGTGGGATTTTGAGGGGGTCGGGGGTTCCCTGTGGGATTTTGGGGGGGTCGGGGGCTCCCAGTGGGATTTAGGGGGGGGTCGCCCGGGGCCCCCCGCGCTCCCCGTGGGCTGGGGGTGTCCGTACCCCCCACCGGGGCTCCCCCCCACGCCCGTTCCGGGAAGGGCCCGTGGGGTGCGGGGGGGGCCCGGGGGTGACTCAGGCGTGATTCAGCCCCCCCTCCCCCCTCCCCTCCCCCTGCCCCCCCCCGGATGTGAGTAACTGCCCGGGGGGGGCCCAGCCCCGCGTGGGCCGGGGGAGGGACCCCAAACCCCCCCAACCCCCCCCAGCTGTGCCCAGCATGGGACCCGGGGACTCTCACAGGAGCCCCGGTCACACCCGGGGGCCCCGGCACTGCCCCGGGGGGGGACTGTGTCACCCGTGTGTCCCCTGTGTCACCTGTGTGTCCCCTGTGTCACCCGTGTGTCCCCTGTGTCCCCTGTGTCCCACCTGTGTCCCTCGTGTCCCACCTGTGTCACCTGTGTCACCCTGTGTCCCTCATATCCCTCGTGTGTCCCCCGTGTCCCATTTGTGTCCCCTGTGTCCCCTGACATGGTCCCCATGCCCTGCCCTTGTCCCCGTGTCCCCACTCAAGTCCCCAGTCTCCCCCTGTCCCTCACCCTCTGTGTGTCCCTGACCCCACACATGTCCTGTCCCCATGTCCCCCTGTGTCCTTGTCCCCATCTCTGTCCCTGCCTGTCCCCACATGCCCCGTCACCTGTGTCCCATGTCCCTGTGCCCTGATGTCACCTGGGGGTCCCCCAGGGGGGGACTGTGTTCCCTGTGTCCCCCCTGTGTCCTGCCCGTGTTCCCCCTGTGTCCTGTGTCCTTTGTCCCCATCTGTGTCCCTTGTCCCCATCCACATCCCCCATGTCCCTGGTCCCCCTCTTCCCAAGTGTTCCTACGTCCCCCTGTCCCCTCTGTGCCGGTGTCACCTGTGCCATGTCCCTTGTCCCCCACGTCCCCATCCTGTGCTATGTCCTCACATCCCCTCCTGTGCCATGTCCCTTGTCCCTATCCTGTCCCCCCGTCCCCATGACTCTGTCCCTGTCCCCTTGTCCCCCTGTCTCCACATCCCCATCCTGTCCCTGTCCCCCTGTCCCCCCTGTCCCTATGACTGTCCCTGTCCCCTGTCCCCGTGACTGTCCCTGTCCCTGCTGTCCCCCTGACGCTGTCCCTGTCCCCCTGTCCCTGCTGTCCCCATGACTGTCCCTGTCCCCCCTGTCCCTATGACTGTCCCTGTCCCCTGTCCCCATGACTCTGTCCCTGTCCCCCTGACTCTGTCCCTGTCCTCTGTCTCCATGATTGTCCCTGTCCCCCTGTCTCCACATCCCCATCCTGTTCCCTGTCCCTGCTGCCCCCCTGACTCTGTCCCTTTCCCCTTGTCCCCCTGTCTCCACATCCCCATCCTGTCCCTGTCCCCCTGTCCCCCCTGTCCCTATGACTGTCCCTGTCCCCTGTCTCCATGACTGTCCCTGTTCCTGCTGTCCCCGTGACTCTGTCCCTGTCCTCTGTCCCCATGATTGTCCCTGTCCCCCTGTCCCCCTGACTCTGTCCCTGTCCCCTGTCCCCATGACTGTCCCTGTCGCCCTGACTCTGTCCCTTTCCCCGCTGTCCCCCTGTCTCCACATCCCCATCCTGTCCCTGTCCCCCCTGTTCCTGCTGTCCCCGTGACGCTGTCCTTGTCCCATGTCCCCCTGCCTCTGTCCCTGTCCCTGCTGTCCCCCTGTCTCCACATCCCCATCCTGTTCCCTGTCCCCCCTGTCCCCATCCTGTTCCCTGTCCCCCTGTCCCCCTCTCCCCATCCCACTGTCCCCCTGACGCTGTCCCTGTCCCCAGGGAGGGCGAGGCGTGGCGCGGCTCCCGGCGGGTCCTGGCTCGGGCCCTGCTCCGCCCGGGCGCTGCCGAGGCCTTCGCGGCCCCGGTGGCGGCGGCCGTGGCCGAGCTCGTGGCGCGGCTGCGGCGGCTGCGGCGGCGCCACCCCCGGGGCCTCGTGCGCGACATCGGCACCGAATTCAACCGATTCGGCCTCGAGGGTGAGCGGGACCCCGAAATGGGGATGGGGGACCCCGAAAGGGGATGGGGAACCCCAAAAGGGAATGGAGAAACCTAAAAGGGGGATGGAGCACCCTGAAAGGGATGGAGAACCCCAAAAGGGATGAGGCAACCCCAAAGGGGATGGAGAACCCCAAAAGGGGGATGGGGAAACCTAAAAGGGGATGGGGAACCCCAAAAGGGATGAGGCAACCCCAAAGGGGATGGAGAACCCCAAAAGGGGATGGGGCACCCTGAAAGGGATGGGGAACCCCAAAAGGGGATGGGGAACCCCAAAAGGGGTTTGGGCATCCAAAACAGAATGGGGAGCCCCAAACAGGGATGGGGAACCCCAAAGGGCTGCGACTCCCACAGGGACCCCCTGTACCCCCCCATGGGCGCCCCAGGTCTCCTCCCACCCCCAGGGCTCCCCAGGTCCCCACTGGGGCTCCCCGTGTCCCACAAGGCTCCAGGGCACTTCTGTCCCCCAGTGTCCCCAGGGACTCTCGGATCCCCCCTCAGTGTCCCCACATCCCAATGTCCTCATGTCCCAATGTCTCCAGAGTCCCCATGTCCCCATCCTCTGTGTCTATGGGCCTCCCATGTCCCCAGTGTCCCATGTCCCAATGTCCCCAGGGTCCCCATGTCCTCAGTGTCCCCAGAGTCCCTCATGTCTCGTGTCCCCTTGTCCTCAGTGTCCCTGTGTCCCCAGTGTCCCGTGTCCCCATCCCCTGTGTCTCTGGCCATCCCGTGTCCCCAGTGTCACAATGTCCCCATGTCCCTGGTGTCCCCAGTGTCCCAATGTCTCCATGTCCCATGTCCCCGCTATCCCCATGTCCCATGTCCCTGGTGTCCCGGTGTCCCATGTCCCAATGTCCCAATGTCCCCATGTCCCAATGTTCCAATGTCCCCAGTGTCCCATTCCCCCTTGTCCCAATGTCCCAGTGTTCCCATGTCCCCAGTGTCCCTGGTGTTCCCAATGTCCCCATCGTCCTCACTGTCCCCCTGTCCCACAGCCATCTCCTGGGTGCTGTTCTCCTCCCGCCTGGGCTGCCTGGGGGACCCTGGGGACTCTGGGGACAGCAGTGACACCGAGGCCGTGCTGCAGAGCGTGGGAGCAGTGCTGGCGCTGACGCTGGTGACAATGGCACTGCCACGTCCCCTCCTGCGCCTCGTCCCCGCGCCCTGGGACGCCTTCTGCCACGCCTGGGACCAGCTCTTCGCCTTTGGTGAGGGACACGGGGACAGGGGGACACCGTGGTGACCTCCCATGGGGACAGGGGGACAGGGGGACATTGTGGTGATCTCCCATGGGGACACCAGGACATCCCGTGGGGACACCAGGAATTGTATGGGGACATTGGGACATCCCAGAGGGATATGAGGATGTCCCACAGCCATTGGGACATGGGGCCATCCCACAGGGACACAGGGACACAGGGACACGGGGGACATTGTCGTGACCTCCCATGGGGACACCAGGACAAAGTATGGGGACACGAGGACATCCCAGAGGGATTTGGGGATGTCCCACAGCCATGGGGACATGGGGCCATCCCACAGGGACACAGGGACACGGGGGACATTGTCGTGACCTCCCATGGGGACACCAGGACATCCCATGGGGACATGGGGGACACGGGGACACGGAGGACATTGTCGTGACCTCCCATGGGGACACCAGGACAATGTATGGGGACACGGGGCCATCCCAGAGGGATTTGGGGATGTCCCACAGCCATGGGGACATGGGGACACTCCTGCTCACCTTCAGCTGAGGGGACATGGGGCACGTGGGGACACAGGGACATCACATGGGGACACCAGGACATCGTGTGGGGACACAGGGACATGGGGCCATTCCATGGGGACACCAGGACATTGTATGGGGACACAGGGACATCCCAGAGGGATATGGGGATGTCCCAGAGCCATGGGGACGCTCCTGCTCACCTTCAGCTGAGGGGACATGGGGACACAGGGGATCATCCCAGGGCCGTGGTGAGGGGACACAGGGGACATGGGGACATCCAAGGGACACCGAGACACCCCGTGGGGTCCCAGGGATGTCCCATGACTGTGACAGTCCCATGCCATGTCCCAAGGGACGTGCTGATGGCGCGTGGCCCTGGTGACAGCGACAGGGATTTGGTGGCCACGGTGGCACTGATGGCACTGACGGCCATTGTTGTCCCCAGCCAAGGGACACGTGGACCGGCGCGTGGCCGAGGTGGCAGCGCGGGGGCCGCTGGCCGAGGGGGACACGTGTGTCACCGACCTGCTGGCCCGGGAGCGCGTCCCCGTCAGCAGCATCTACGGGAACGTCACCGAGCTGCTGCTGGCCGGGGTGGACACGGTGAGGGGGTGACACCGCGGTGTCCCTGCTGTCACCGCGGGCCCCGCTGATGTCACCGCGTGTCCCCAGGTGGCCAGCACGCTGGCCTGGAGCCTGTACGAGCTGGCCCGGAACCCGGGGGCGCAGGCGGCCCTGCACCGCCAGCTGCTCACTGCCACCAACGGTGTCACCGGCGGTGACAGTGCCACCACCGACCGTGCCACTGCTGCTGCCACCGCCGCCGCGCTGGGACGGCTGCCACTGCTGCGGGCGGTGGTGAAGGAGACCCTCAGGTGACAGGGACATGGGGACATGGGGACAGGGGGACATGGGGACAGTGATGGGGACAGGAACATGGACACAGGAACACGGGGATGGGGACATGGGGACAGGGGGACAGGGGGACATAGGGACAGTGATGGGACATGGGGACAATGGGATTGAGGACATGGGGAGAGGGGTTGGGATATGGGGACAGGAACACAGAGGGACACAGGGATGGGGACACAGAAATGGGGACAATGGGAATGGGGACATGGGGACAGGAACATGGACACAGGGACATGGGGACACAGAAATGGGGACATGGGGGTGGGGACGTGGCCAGGGGTGAGGGACACAGGGATGAGAATGGGGACAGGGATGTGGATAAAGATGGGGACAGGGACAGGACAGGGATGGGACAGGATGGGTTTGGGGACAAAATGGGGACAGGGATGGAGACAAGGAGGAGGATGAGGATGGGGGTGAAGAGCAGAACATGGCAGGGATGAGGATGGGACAAGGAAGGGATGAAGACGAGGATGAGGATGAAGGTGGGGACAGGACGGGGTCAGGGATGAGGATGAAGGTGGGGACAGGACGGGGTCAGAGGTGGGGACAGGGACAGGGAGGTGACCCCAGCTGTCCCCCCCCTCAGGCTGTACCCCGTCATCCCGGCCAACGCCCGCGTTGTCCCCGAGTGTGACATCCACGTCGGTGACTACCTGGTGCCACGCCAGGTGAGCCGGGGGGACACCCCGCAGCCCGGGGCTCCCGGTGTCACCAGGGTGTCCCCAGGGTGTCCCCAGGGTGTCCCCACTGACCCCGTGTCCCCACAGACCCTCATCACCCTGTGCCATTACGCCACGTCCCGCGACAGCCGCTACTTCCCCGCGCCCGACGCCTTCCGCCCGGAGCGCTGGCTGCGCCACGGGGACACCGCTGGGGACACCGGGGACACCGCTGGGGACACTGGGGACAGCCCTGGGGACACCCCTGGGGACAGCCCTGGGGACAGCCCCGGCCCCAGGCACCCCTTTGCCTCCCTGCCCTTCGGCCTCGGCCCGCGCAGCTGCGTCGGGCGCCGCCTGGCCGAGCTGCAGCTGCACATGGCGCTGGCACAGGTGGGTGTCCCCGTGGTGTCCCCGTGGTGTCCCCGTGGTGTCCCCATGGTGTCTCCGTGGTGTCCCCATGGTGTCCCCACGGTGTCACTCACCCGTCCCTGCTCCCCCAGATCCTGTTGCACTTTGAGGTGCGGCCGGAGCCCGGGGGGAGCCGCGTGCGCCCCATGACCCGAACCCTGCTGGCCCCCGGAGCCCCCATCAGCCTGCGCTTCCTCGAGAGGTGACAACGGGGACATGGGGACAATGGGGACACCAGGGACTCTGGAGATACGTGGGAACACTGGGGACACCAGAGACTCGAGACAGCAGGGACATTGGGGACACTGGAGACATGGGGACACCAGGGACACTGGGGACACCAGAGACTCTGATGATACATGGGGACAATGGAGACATGGGGACATGGGGACAACTGGGGACATGGGGACACCAGGGACAGTGCAGAGACCTTGACCCCAGCGGTGACTTCACCACCAGTGATGGCACCGACCCCAACGGTGGCCTTGACCCCACAGTGTCCCCAGTGTCATCCCAGCCCTGTCCCTGTGGGTGACCCCAGCCCAGAGGTGGCCCTGACCCCTCGGTGACATTGGCCATGGTGGCAGCAGCCCCCACACCATGGCACTGCTGGCTCTGGCAGTGTCACACACCCTGTGCTGGCCTCGTCCCCACGGTGTCCCCAACCCTGTGGGAACCTCAGCCTGGAGGTGGCCTTGTCCCCATGGTGTCCCCAACCCCATTGGGGTGACTCCCTGGTGGTGGCCTTGTCCCCACGGTGTCCCAGCCCTGTGCTGCCCCCCCCAGGGGGGTCGGGGTTTATTTATTGGCCAATAAAGCGATTTTGGGCTTTTGGCATTTTGGGGTTTTGGTGTTTTGGCATTCTGGGGTTTTGCAGCTCCACTCTCCCCTCCCTTCCCCTCCCCTCCCTCCCAATGCCCTGACCTGCCCAGGTGTGCCCGGGGGTGAGGGGGGCACAGAGGGGGGCACACACACACACACTGACCCCCCAAAATCCCCCTGGGACCCCCCCAAATCCCCCCCTGGGACCCCCCACGGCCACACCCCCTGCAGGTTTTGGGGGGCACAGAGGGACCCCGGGACCCCCGGACACGTCACGGTGCCCATGGGGGGGGGGTGGGGGGTGTCGGGACCCCCCCGGGGTTTAACCCGGTCGGTGCCACCCACGGTGGGGGGGGTGGGGGGGCAATGTCGCAGGTGGGGGAGGCGCTGACGTCAGCACAGGGGACTCTGGACCCTCGTGGGGACCCTGGGGCAGCCGTGCGTGGTGACCCCCCCTGCCCTGCCCTGCCCCCCCCGGGCCGGGACACCCCTCCCCCAGGTGAGGGGGGGGGGAGGGGAGGGGATCCCTGGGGCTGGAGATGGGCACGGGGCTCACCTGGGCACCCCCCGGGGTCACCTGGGCACCCCCCGGGGTCACCTGAGCACCACCCCGGGCTCACCTGGGCACCCCCCGGGGTCACCTGGGCACCATCCTGAGCTCACCTGGGCACCACCCTGAGGTCACCTGGGCACCCCGAGCTCACCTGGGCACTCCTGAGCTCACCTGGGCATTCCTGAGCTCACCTGAGCACCCCTGAGCTCACCTGGGCAGGGCTGAGCTCACCTGGGCACCACCCCGGGGTCACCTGGGCACCCCCCCCGAGCTCACCTGGGCACCCCCCCGAGCTCACCTGGGCACCCCGAGCTCACCTGGGCACTCCCCCGGGGTCATCTGGGCACCACCCCCGGGCTCACCTGGGCACCCCGAGCTCACCTGGGCATTCCTGAGCTCACCTGGGCACCCCTGAGCTCACCCGGGCACCCCCCCGAGCTCACCTGGGCACCACCCTGAGCTCACCTGGGCATTCCGGAGCTCACCCGGGCACCCCCCCGGGCTCACCTGGGCACCACCCTGAGCTCACCTGGGCACTCCTGAGCTCACCTGGGCACCCCAAACCCCACGGGGGCACTGAGCCCATCCTGGCCAGTGCCACCTGTGCCAGGTGGGGGTGGCAGAGGGACCCGAAGGGGGGGAGGGTGTGGGGGGGGTCACGGGGGTGGGCACAGAGGAAAGAGGGGAAATTCGGGGGGCTGGGTGGGGGGGTCTCTCAAGGGGGGGTCTGGGGCACACTGGCATGCCAGGGCATGGGGGGGGTACTGGGAGCCACTGGGGGATACTGGGAGCACACTGGGGTGCCCTGGGGGGCTGTGGGGGGGCACTGGTGGGCACTGGGATACCCTGGGGGCACACTGGTGGGCTGTGGGGGACACTGGGGGGGCACTGGGATGCCCGGAGCTGGGGCGGGGGCACTGGGGGGTGCCAGCTCTCCCCGCTGTGTTCTGGGTTGGGCATCCCGGGTGCTGCCGCTCGCTGTGGGGCCGTGCCAGGGGTGTGGGGCTGGGGGGCGGGGGTGCCAGGGTTGGGGGGGTCTCGGGGGTGTCGCTGGCTCCGTGCCCCCCCAGGGTGGCACAGGACGAGCCCAGGGCTGAGCCGGGCACGGGCGGCTCCCGGGAGCGGCTCCGCGGGCGCTGCGGCACCGGGGAACGGGCGGTGCCCACCGGGGAAGGGGCGGTGCCCACGGGGGAACGGGCGGTGCCCACCGGGGAAGGGGCGGTGCCCACCGGGGAACGGGCGGTGCCCATGGCGGAACGGGCGGTGCCCGCGGGGGAACGGGCAATGCCCACCGGGGAAGGGGCGGTGCCCACGGGGGAGTTTCGGGGTGCCCCCCAGCACCTGCGGGGGGCGGCTCTGCTCGGGCACCCCAACATTGGCCGGTGAGAGCCAGGACTGCCCCGGGGCACCGGGGATGGGGGTGCCAGGGATGGGGTGGGGGTGCCAGAGCAGTTTTGGGGTCCCAGAGCAGTTTTGGGGTCCTAGAGCAGGGCTGGGGTGCCAGGGCTGGGGTGGGGGCGCCAGGGGTGGGGTGGGGGTGCCAGAGCAGTTTTGGGGTGCCAGGGCTGGGGGGTCCTGGAACAGTTTTGAGATCCCAAAACAGGGATGAGGTGCCAGGGCAGGAATGGGGGTCCCAGGGCAGTTTTGGGGTCCCAAAGCACGGATGGGGTCTCAGAGCAGTTTTGGGGTGCCAGAGCACGGATGGGGTCACCAGGCGAGGGCACCCAGAGGTTGGCACTGGGGACACTCTGGGGGACATGTGGGGGCACCAGTGGAGGGGACACGGATGGGTACACACGGGCTGGCACTGGGGACATTCCAGGGGACACCTGGGGGGCACAGGGACGCTCTGAGTGTGACCATCGGGGACACCAGGGGGGGACAGGATGGCACCTCCCCATGGCCCCCCCGAGCTCTGGGGAGGGGTCACAGAGGTGCCCCCCCATGTCCCTGGGTGTCCTCTCTGTCCCTGTCCCTGCCCCTGTCCCCTCTCCCCTGTCCTTGTCCCCTGTTCCCTCTCCCCTGTCCCTATCCCATCCCTGTCCCTGTACCATCCCTGTCCCCTGCCCCTGTCTCTGTCCCCTGTCCCCGTCCCTGTCCACATTCCCTGTCCCCTTCCCCTGTCCCTGTCCCCTGTCCCATCCCTGTCCCCCATCCCTGTCCCAGTCTCTGTCCTTGTCCCCTCTCCCCTGTCCCTGTCCCCTGTCCCCATCCCTGTCCCTGCCCCTGTCCATGTCCCCATCCACTGTCCCTGTCCCCGTCTCTCTCCCTGTCTCCTCTCCTCTGTCCTTGTCCCCTGTCCCCATCCCTGTCCCCCAACTCTGTCCCTGTCCCCATCCCTGTCCCTGTCCTTGTCCCCTCTCCCCGTCCCTGTCCCCTGTTCCCCATCCCTGTCCCTGTCCCCTCTCCCCTGTTCCTGTCCCTGTCCCCAGTCCCTGTCCCATCCCTGTCCCTGCTGACCCTCAGCCCTGCCCTGGGGCACCGGTACCTGTAGGGGGGGCGTGAGGGGTGACCCCCCCCCCCCCCCAAAATACCCCCCCCGACCATCCCCCAGGACCCCCAGAGCCGTGTGCTGCAATTGTGGGGTGACACCCCCCAAAACCCCCAATGGTACTTGTGGGGGGGTCTGAGGGGTGTCGTCCCCCCCCCAGACACCCTGAACCCCCCCAGGGACACCAGGACTGGATTTGGGGTGGGGTTATTTGGGGAGGGGGGGGGGCATTTTTTGGGGTTCCCCATTTCCCTGTCAATGAAGGGGTTTGGGCAGTGCCCCCCCCTCCCCATGTCCTGTGTCACTGGGGGGGGTCCCCCAGAATGAGCCCGAGCCCAGGTGGGTGGTGTGTGTTTATTGGGGGGGGGGGGACACGGTGAGACCCCCCCGTGGTGACAGCAGGGGGGGGGGAGGTGTCCCCCTGCCCCCCAAATTGGGTCTGGGGGGGTCACCAGTGTAAACCAGTCCAGACCAGTTTAGGGGTGCTGGGATGGGGGGGCCCTGCTGGATTTAGGGAGGTTGTGACCCCCCGGGGGTCGCTTTGGGGGGGTCCTGCCCCGTGTGCCCCTCCCCAGTTTGGGGGTGTCCCTGACCCCCCCAGCAGTGGTGGGGTGGGGGGTGGTGAATGACCAGTACAAACCAGTTTGGAGAGCTCAGACTGAGATGGATTTGGGGGGGGGGGGGGGGTCTGGGGGGGTCACAGCCCCGCCGGGGGGGGTCACCCCATGATTTGGGGGGGGTTGGGGGTGTCCTTGTCCCCAGTGCTTCATGCAGCCGCTGTGTGGGGGGGGGGGGGGGGCAGCTGGTCAGCACTGGGGGGTTCTGGACCCCCCCCCCCAGGGTTGGGACCCCTCCCCAGAGGGGCTGCGCCCCCCCCCGCTATAGGAAGGCTCCGGGGTTGGCGCGGGGGTCGCGCTGATTCCGGAAACGCAGGGCGAGCCAGACCCCCAAAACCTGCAACAAACGGGGGGTGGGGGGGGCTGCTGGACCCCCCCCCGGGGCCCTGAGACCCCCTGGGACCCCCTGGGACCCCCCCGGCCCCCCCCGGGCCCCCCCCGTACCTCGGTGAAGCTGAAGAAGAGCCCGACCCCCCCCAGGATCCTGAGCGCCTGCTCCGAGTGCTGCAGCAGCTGGGGGGCGCAGGGGGGGCACGGGGGCGCCCCCCCCGGGGGGAACCGGCACCTCTGGGGGCACACGGGAGCCTCAGGGGGGTCCCCAAACTCTGCTTCCCCCCAAAACCCAACCCCACACCCCCCTGCAACCCCCAGTCACCTCCCCCAGGGATGTTCCCAAAGTGCCCTGAGCTCCCCGATACCGCCAGGAGGAATCTCCAGACCCCCCCAACTCCCCAGTGACCCCCAAACCCCCCCGACTGCCCCCCCCAAACCCCCCCAACTCCCCAATGACCCCTGAGCCTCCCCAAAGCCCCCAAACCCCTCCCCTGAACCCCCCCGACTGTCCCCCCAAACCACAACTTCCCAGTCACCCCCAGACTCCCCCCAAACCCCCCCACAACTCCCCAATGACCCCTAAACCCCCCAACTGCCCCCCCCAACTCCCCAATCCCCCCAACCCCTGCCCCAAACTCCCCCAACCACCTCTAAACCCCCCCAACTCCCCAATCACCCCCAAATCCGCCCAGCTCCCCCCAAACCCCCCAGACTCCCCAATCACCCCCAAACTCCCCCAACTTCTCCCCTCCAACCCTCCCGACTCCCCAGTCACCCACAAACCCCCCCCAAACCCCTCTGAATCCCCAGTCACCCCCACATCCCCCCAACTCCCCAGTCACCCCTAAACCTCCCCAACTGCCCCCCAAACCCTCCCGACTCCCCAGTCACCCACAAACCCCCCAAACCCCCCCGAATCCCCACTCACCCCCACATCCCAGTGACCCCCAAAGCCCCCCAACTGTCCCCCCAAACCCTCCTGACTCCCCAGTGACCCCCAACCCCCCCCCAACTCCCCTGAATCCCCAATCACCCCCACGTCCCAGTGACCCCTAAACCCCCCCAAAACCCCCAACCCCCCCAACTCCCCTGAATCCCCAGTCACCCCCAACCCCCCCAACTCCCCAGTCACCCCTAAACCACCCCAAACCCCTCTGACTCCCCAATCGCCCCCCAAACCCCCCAAGCCCCCCCCAGACTCACAGCCGGGCAGTTTGGGGGTTCCCAGGGGGGCTCCAGGGCCGGGGGGGGGGTCCCGGGGGGCGCCCCCAGCCCGCAGCAGCCCAGCCTGAGCTGCAGCTGCCCCCGCGCCCCCGCGCTCAGCAGGGGCCAGGCCGAGCGCAGCAGCCGCTCCTGGGGGGCAACGGGGGCACCCCCAAAATGGTCAGAGACCCCCACGTGATACAGGGCACCCCAAAAACCCCTCAGAGCCTCCCCCACTGCCATGGGGCACCCCGAAAACGGTCAGAGACCCCCACGTGATACAGAGCACCCCGAAAACTGTCAGAGACCCCCACATGATACAGGGCACCTCAAAAATGGTCAGAGACCCCCACATGATACAGGGCACCCCGAAAATGGTCACAGCCCCCCGGGACCCCCCACTGATACAGGGCACCCCGAAAACGGTCAGAGACCCCCACATGATACAGAGCACCCCGAAAATGGTCAGAGACCCCCACACTGCCATGGGGCACCCTGAAAACGGTCAGAGACCCCTACACTGATACAGGGCACCCCGAAAACGGTCAGAGACCCCCCCCACTGATACAGGGCACCCCAAAAACGGTCAGAGACCCCCCATACTGATACAGGGCACCCCCAAAACGGTCAGAGACCCCCACGTGATACAGAGCACCCCGAAAATGGTCAGAGACCCCCACACTGATACAGGGGCACCCCCAAAACGGTCAGAGACCCCCCCCACTGATACAGGGCACCCCCAAAACGGTCAGAGACCCCCCCACTGATACAGGGCACCCCGAAAACGGTCAGAGACCCCCACATGATACAGGGCACCCCGAAAACGGTCAGAGACACCCACATGATACAGGGCACCCCGAAAACGGTCAGAGACCCCCACACTGATACAGGGCACCCCGAAAATGGTCAGAGACCCCTACACTGATACAGGGCACCCCGAAAATGGTCACAGCTCCCCAGGGTCCCCACACTGCCATGGGGCACCCCAAAAATGGTCAGAGACCCCCACACTGATACAGGGCACCCCGAAAACGGTCAGAGACACCCACTGATACAGGGCACCCCGAAAATAGTCAGAGACCCCCACACTGATACAGGGCACCCCAAAAACCCCTCAGAGACCCCCGGGACTCCCCACTGCCATGTGGCACCCCGAAAACGGTCAGAGACCTAGGGGACCCCCCCACTGATAGAGGGTACCCCAAAAATGGTCAGAAACCCCCAGAGCCCCCCCCCCCACTGATACAGGGCACCCCAAAAATGGTCAGAGACACCCGGGAACCCCCACTGCCATGGGGCACCCCAAAAATGGTCAGAGACCGCCAGGGCTCCCCCACTGTCACACGGACCCCCCCAAACCCCTCAGTGCCCCCCAGGAGCTCCCCCCTGCCCAGAGCCCCCCAAATCCCTCCCCACACTATGGGGCCCCCCAAATCCCTTTGTGCCTCTCCGAGGGCTGGAGGGAGGATCCCACCCCCCCAAGGGTTTTGGGGTGAGGGGCGGGGGGGTCCTTGTGCACCCCAAGATCGGGGATGGGCCTGTGGGGGTGGGGTGGGGGTCCCAGAGGGATCTGGGGGGGTCCCAGGGTTTGGAGGGGGAGGGGGATGAGGTTCCCTGAGCCTCCCTGGGGGTTTTGGGGGGGTCCCAGGGCATTTTTGGTGCTTTAGGGGTCCCAGGGGATTTTGGAGTTGGGAGAGGGGGGGTGTCCTAGGGATTTTGGGGTTCCCAGGGGGATTCTGAGGGGATTTGGGGAGCCCTGGGGGGTCCCAGGGGATTTGGAGGTCCTGGGGGGTTTGAGGGGGTTCCAAGGAATCTTGGGGAGTTTCAGGGGATTTTGGGGGGCCCGGGGGGGGGGGTCCCAGGGGGTTTTGGGGGTCCCAAGAGGTTTTAGGGAGCCTGGGGGGTGTCCCAGGAGGTTTGGGGGGTCCACAGGGGATTCTGAGGGGTCCCAGGGGGTATTGGGGAGCCCATGGGGTCCCGGGTGTTTTGGGGGTCCCAGGGGGATCCCAGGGGTTTTTGGGGGTTCCCAGGGGGTTCTGGTGGGTCCCAGGGCATTTTGGGGGGCCCAGGGTGGTCCCAGGGGTTTTTGGAGGATCCCAGGGGGTTTTGGGGATTTGGAGATCCCAGGGAGGTTTGGGGGGTGTCCCAAGGGGTTTTGGGGATCCCAGGGGAGTCCCAGGGGGTTTGGGGGATCCCAGGGGGTATTGGGGGGGGTCCCTGGGGGTTTTGGGGATTTGGAGATCCCAGGGAGGTTTGGGGGGTGTCCCAAGGGGATTTGGAGGGTCCCAGGGGATTTTGGGGGATCCCAGGTGGTTTTGGGGGATCCCAGGGGTTTTGGGGATCCCAGGGGGTTTTGGGGGGTCCGGGGGAGTTTTGGGGCTCCCGGGGGTCCCAGCACCCACCTGAGCCTCAGGGCCCAGGGCGAGGCAGGCACAGGACACGCCCAGCTGGCACAGGAACACCAGGCCCAGGATCAGCACGTACTGGGGGGGTCAAGGGGGGCACACACACACACAGGGACCCCCCAAAATCCCCCCTGATCCCCCACAGCCAGACCCCCCGCAGGTTTGGGGGTCCCCAGGTGGAGTTGGAGCCCCCCTGAAGGGTCTGAAGGGGGCAGGAGGTGGGGGGGCCACAGGGGAGGGGGGTGGGGACATTGGGGGGCGTTTGGGGACATGGGGGGGGGAGCAGCCTGGGAGGGGGCCAGGGACACCCAGGGGTGTTGGGGACAGTGCCAGGGGGTGTTTAGGACATCCAGGGGTGTTGGGGACACTGCCAAGGACATCCAGAGGGTGTTGGGGACAGTGCCAGGGTGCCAGGGACACCCAGGGGTGTTGGGGACACTGCCAGGGGTGCCAGGGACACCCAGGGGTGTTGGGGACAGTGCCAGGGGGTGTTTAGGACACCCAGGGGGCCTTGGGGACACTGCCAGGGACATCCAGGGGGTGTTGGGGACACTGCCAGGGGTGCCAAGGATGTCAAGAAGGACTTGGGGTCAGTGCTGGCGTGCCAGGGCCAGCCAGGGGAGCACTGGGGACACTGCCAGGGACTTCTAGATGGGTTTGGGGACACTGCCAGGGGTGCCAGGGACATCCAGAGGGGCTTGGGGACATTGCCAGGAGTGCCAGGGCCAGCCAAGGGTGTTTGGGGACATTGCCAGGGACATCCAGAGGGGTTTGGGGACACTGCCAGATGTGCCAGGGACATCCAGGGATGCACTGGGGGCATCCAGTGGGTGCTGGGGACACTGCCAGGGGTGCCAGGGACATTCAAGGGTGTTGGGGACATTGCTAGGGACATCCAGAGGGGCTTGGGGACACTGCCAGATGTGTCAGGGACATCCAGGGGGGCTTGGGGACACTGCCAGGGGTGCCAGGGACACCCAGGGGGTGCTGGGGACTGAGGGGGACTTTGGGCCAAGGGGACAGAGCAGGGCAGGACGCGGTGCCCAGGCGGGCGGGGGGCGCATGGGGTTGGGGGTGCTGGGAGGGTCCTCAGGAGGGGCTGGGGGTGCCGGGGGGGATCCCCAGGAGGGGCTGGGGGTGCCAGGAGGGTCCTCAGGAGGGGCTGGGGGTGCCAGGAGGGTCCCCCGGAGGGGCTGGGGGTGCCAGGAGGGTCCCCCGGAGGGGCTGGGGGTGCCAGGAGGGTCCTCAGGAGGGGCTGGAGGTGCCAGGAGGGTCCCCCGGAGGGGCTGCGGGTGCCAGGAGGGTCCCCAGGAGGGGCTGGGGGTGCCAGGAGGGTCCCCCGGAGGTCCCCCCCCCCCAAAAGGATACGAAGAAGAGCAGGACCTGGTGGTGCCGCAGGGCCCCGAGCAGCCCCAGCGCCGCGATCAGCAGGAGGAAGACTCCGACGGCGAAGGCTCCTCCGAGCAGGGGGGGGCTGGAGCCCCCGGCCAGGCCCCGCGCCCAGCCCGCCACGGCCACCAGCAGAACCCCCACCAGCTGGGGCACCGGGAGGGGGGCACGGGTCAGGGGGCACCGGGGAGGGGGCACCGGGTCAGGGGGCACCGGGGAGGGGGCACCGGGGAGGGAGGCACGGGTCAGGGGGCACCGGGGAGGGGGCACCGGGGAGGGGGCGCATGGGTCAGGGGGCACCGGATCGGGGGGCACCGGGTCAGGGGGCACCGGGGAGGGGGCGCATGGGTCACGGGGCACCGGGGAGGGGGCACGGGTCAGGAGGCATCGGTACCCCCAGAACCCCCCGAAACCGGGACTGTGCCCCCCCCCAACCCGGACTGAGCCCCCAAACCGGGACCGAGCCCGCAAACCGGGATTGTGACCCCAAACCGGGACTGAGCCCCCAAACCGGGATTGTGACCCCAAACCGGGACTGAGCCCCCAAACCGGGACTGTGACCCTGAACCGGGACTGTGACCCCCCCCAAACCAGGATTGTGGCCCCCAAACCGAGACTGAGCCCCCAAACCGGGACTGAGCCCCCAAACCGGGACTGAGCCCCCCAGCCCTGCTCAGCCACCCCTACAGGGGCAGCCCCAGAGCCGCCCCCAGACCGAGGGTCCCAGGAGCCCCCCCCAGCTTTAGGGACCCCCAACTTCCCCCCAGCACCCCAGAACCCCAAACTGGGAAGGGGTCCCCCCCTCCTGCAGACCTCCCCAGGGCAGAGGGGTCCCCAATCCCCCCACCAAGACCTGAGGGGTCCCCAATCCCCTCACGGCCCCCCCCAGACCCGAGGGGTCCCCAATCCCCTCAGAGCCCCCCCAGAGGGGTCCCCAGTCCTCTCAGAGCACCCCAGACCCGAGGGATCCCCAATCCCCCCACAGAGCTGACGGGTCCCCAATCCCCTCAGAGCACACCAGACCCGAGGGGTCCCCAATCCCTTCAGAGATCCCCCAGAGCTGAGGGGTCCCCATTCCCCCCACAGAGCAGAGGGGTCCCCAATCCCCTCACGCCCCCCCAGACCTGAGGGGATCCCCAATCCCTTCACGGCCCCTCAGGGCAGAGGGGTCCCCAAACCCCTCACGGCTCCCCCAGACCCGAGGGGTCCCCATTCCCCTCACGGCCCCCCAGCTCACCACATAAACCACGTTGAGGGCGCAGAGCGCGTTGCGCGAACAGGCGAAGCCTCCGCAGACCATGGCGGGCTCTGGGGGTTCCCGGGAGTCCCGGGGGGTTCCGGGGGTCACGGGGAGTTCGGGGGTCCCGGGGATTCCCGGGGGTCCCGGGGAGTTCCGGGCTCCCCGCGCCGCGGCCCCTTTAAACCGCGGCCCCGCGCCCGGCGCGCCCGCCCGCACTGCGCCTGCGCAGGGCGCCCGCCCCGCCCACCGCGCCCAGTGTCTCCATAGCCCCGCCCTTAGGCCCCGCCCACTATTCGCGTTTAGGCCACGCCTCCGAACACCGTATATGGGTGTGACCACGCCCACAGCACAACGCGCGTTCTCCATACTGCGCATGCGTACGGCGCGGCCGGGGTGGGGCGGGGCCCCCGGGAGGGGGCGGGGAGATATGTGGTTGCTCCGCCCCCAGAATCTCGCCCCTCCCCCGAATCCCCCCGACCCCCCCTGGCCGCACAAATCCCGCCCCCACCCAACCCCAGAGTGCCCCAGAAACTCCCCCCATTGCACCCCAGGGACCCCCAGAGCCCCCCTTGAACCCCCAGAGCCTCCCATCACCCCCCACGTCACCCCAGGATCTCCCCAGAGCCCCCCAGGAACCCACCATGGCCCACCAGGGACCCCCCACGGCCCCCAGGACACCCCCAGAAACCCTCCATGGCACCCCAGGATCCCTCCATGACCGTCCAGGACACCCCCAGATCCCCCCAGGAACCTCCTATGGCCTCCAGGACCCCCCCACGGCCCCCAATGGCACCCAGGAACCCCCTGCAGCCCCTCAGGATCCCCAAGAGCCCCCCTGGAATCCCCCATAGTGCCTAGCATCCCCCAGAACCCCCCAGGAACCCCCCCCCCCCACAGCTCACAATGGCCTCCCAGGACCCCCCATAGCCCCCCGGGAACCCTTCATGGCACCCCAGGAACCCCCATGGACCGTCCCAGAGCCCCCCAGGACCCCCTCAGAACCCCCATGACACCCCCAGAACCCTCCAGGACCCCCCCCCCATAAGCCCCTGGAGGGATCCTGGGGGGCTCTGGGGGGATCCTGGGGGGCTCCGGGGGAGTAAAGGGGCTGGGGGGCCAAGGGGAGGGGGTCCTGGGACGCTCTGGGGGATCCTGGGGAGCCCCTGCCCCCCCCCCCTCCCGTGTGCCCCAAACCCCCCCGTGCCCCCCCGAGGCCGCGCCCTCCTGGGAAGTCCTTGAGGGGCCACATTTGGTCCCTTATTAACGCCCCAATGATTAATTAATTAATCATTAATCAGCTCGGGGGGGGGGCGGGGGGGGCGCTTTGGGGGTCCCCACACCCCGGGAGGGCCCAAATTTTGGGGGGGGTCGAGTCCCCAAACCTCCCCTCGGGGTCACCAACGGGGGGAACCGGGGGTGCAGCCGGCCCGGGGGGGGGTCGGGGTGGCCCCCTCGGGGTCTGGCGAGGTCACGTCGCGACCTTGGCGCGTTATCGCGACAGCGATAGGAGCGATAGGGGCGGCTAAAAGCGACAGCGGGCCCGGGGCTGGCAGCGATGGCTCCGTGGCTGCTGTGGCTGCTGCTGGTGACCGGGACCGGGGGGGTCCCCCTTGAGCCCCGGGCGGTACCGGAGCCTCCCCGGGCGGTACCGGAGCCCCCCCGGGAGATACCGGAGCCCCCCCGGGCGGTACCGGAGCCCCGGGCGGTGTCGGACGCGGAGCTCCGGGAGCTCTCGGAGCAGCTGCTCGCCGCGGACTCGAACCGGGCCGGGCCGGGGCAGCTGGAGCTGAACCTGCAGGGCTCGGGCAGGTGGGGACAGGGAGGGGACAGGGCTGGAGGGTGGGGGGCACTCGGCGCCCTCCGTGTTCCCCCTCATCCCCCTCACCCCCTGATCCCACCTGTCCCCAGCCCTGCTTGATCCCACCCCAATCCCATCCCAATCCCAACCCCAACTCCAATCCAACCCCAATTCCATCCCGACCCTAATCTCGATCTCAATCCAATCCCATCCCATCCCATCCCATCCCAATCCCAATCCCTCCCCAATCCTAATCTCATCCAATTCCAACTGCAATCCAATCCCACCCCAGTCCCAGTCCCAATCCCATCCCCATCTTCATCCCAATCCCATCCCAATTTCATCCAAATCTCCCCAATGCTGATCCCCATCCAATCCCAATCCCACCCCAATCCCCATCCCAAACCCAATCCTGATCCCCATTCCAACCCCAACTCCAATCCAATCCCACCCCAACCCCACCCTAATCCCATCCCAGTCCCAATACCTCCCAATCCTAATCTCATCTCACCCCACCCCAATTCCATCCCAATCTCATCCCAACCCTCCTGCCAATCCCAATCCAATCCCAACCCCAATTCTATCCCATCCCAACCCCAATCCTGAACCCAATCCCAATGGCAATCCCATCCCAACGTTAATCCCAATCCCACCCCAACCCCAATCCCACCCCAAACCGAATCCCATCCCAATGCTAATCCCAATCACCCCAACCCCAACCCCAATCCCACCCCAATCCAATTCCAATCCCACCCCAATCCCAACCCCAATCCCACCCCAATCCAATTCCAAACCCATCCCAATCCCACCCCCAATCCCACTCCAATCCCACCCCAATCCCAATCCCATCCCATCGCTAATCCCGTTTTACCCCGCTCTCTGTCCCTTTTCCCAGGCTGTTTGCGCGGGTGTCCCCGTCCCTCCTGGCTGTCCCCACGGTCTCGGCGCTCCTGGCCCTGCTGGACAATTACGAGCAGCGCCCGGGCCGGGCGGAGGCGGAGCCGCCGGAGGAGCTGCAGGAGCAGCAGCGGTTCCTGGAGGCCGCGCTGGCCACGCCGGTGCTGGCGCTGCTCGAGCGCTTCGTGCTCCACAAAGGTGGGGACGCGATGTCCCTGCGATGTCCCCTCGGTCCCTGCGGTGTCCCCTCAGTCCCTGCAGTGTCCCCTCTGTCCCCACTGCGTCCCCACGGTGTCCCCGCAGTGTCCCCCTGTCCCCACGATGTCCCCATGGTGTTCCCCCTATCCCCACGGTGACCCCGTGGTGTCCCCACGGTGTCCCCTGTTGTTCCCCCTATCCCCATGGTGACCCCTTGTCCTCCTGGTGTCCCCACGATGTCCCCCCTGTCTCCACAGTGTCCCCATGGTGTCCCTACAGTGCGCCCATGGCATCCCCATGGTGTTCCCCCTGTCCCCATGGTGTCCCTCCAGTGTCCCTCCTGTCCCCACAATGTCCCCATGGTGTCCCTGTGGTGTCCCCATGATGTCCCCATGTGTTCCCCCTGTCCCCACTGTGTCCCTCCAGTGTTTCCCCTGTCCCTACAGTGTCCCCATGCTGTCCCCACGGTGTTTCCCCTGTCCCCACAGTGTCCCCATGGTCTCCCCCGAACCCCACGGTGACCCCCCTGTCCCTGTGGTGTCCCCATGCTGTTCCCCCTATGCCCACAGTGTCCCCATGGTGTCCCCATGATGTCCCCACGGTGTCACCACAGTGTTCCCCCTATCCCCATGGTGTCCCCATGTGCTCCCCCTGTCCCCATGATGTCCCTACAGTGCTGCCCCTGTCCCCACGGTATCCCCATGGTGTTCCCCCTGTCCCTGCAGTGTCCCCACACTGTCCTCATGATGTCCCCCCTGTCCCCACCATGTCCCCACGGTGACCCTCCTGTCCCCACACTGTCCCCAGGGCTGTAACCCCTGTCCCCACGCTGTCCCCATGCTGTCTTCAGAACTGTACCCCCTGTCCCCACACTGTCTCCATGCTGTCCCCACGCTGTCCCCGTGCTGTCCCCAGGGCTGTACCCCATGTCCCCACACTGTCCCCACACTGTCCCCACGCTGTCCCCATGCTGTCCCCACGCTGTCCCCAGGGCTGTACCCCATGTCCCCATGCTGTCCCCGTGCTGTCCCCAGGGCTGTACCCCATATCCCTGTGGTGTCCCCACACTGTCCCCACGCTGTCCCCGTGCTGTCCCCAGGGCTGTACCCCCTGTCCCCACGCTGTTCCCATGCTGTCCCTATGCTGTCCCCAGGGCTGTACCCCATGTCCCCATGCTGTCCCCGTGCTGTCCCCAGGGCTGTACCCCTCGGCCGAGGCGTTCCGGGCCGATCTCCACTCCATGTGGTTTGGGCTCTACTCGCGCTCCGGAGGGAAAGTGCTGGACTCGTGCGGCTTCGAGCACGTGTTCGTGGGTGAGGGGACACTGGGGACACTGGGGGACATGTGGGGACATGTGGGGACATGGGGGGACACTGGGGAGGGGGGATATGTGGGGATGGAGGGAGCGGGGACAGGGATTGAACAGGGGGACACCAAGGGGATGGGGGGGACACCAAGGGGTGGAGCTGGGGAGGTTTGGGGGGGGTCCCTGGGGGGCAGCTGTGGTCACCTGCTGTCTGTGTCACCCGTGTCCCCAGGGGAGGTGAAGAAGGACGCGGTGTCCGGGTGCCACAACTGGGTGCAGCTGCAGGCGCTGGAGAGCGCGGGGAGGCTGCAGTACCTGGCTGCTCCTGGGACGGCCCGTGAGTGGGGCAGGGGGGACATGGAGGGATAACGGGGACATTGAGGGATATGGAGGGACATGGAGGGACATGGGGATACGGGAATATGGGGACATGGGGACATGTGGACAGCTGGAGTACCTGGGCTGCACCTGGGACGGGCCCTGTGAGTGGGGACATGGGGACATGGGAGGACATGGAGGGACATGGAGGGACATGGGGATACGGGAATATGGGGACATGGGGACATGGTGACAGCTGCAGTACCTGGGCTGCTCCTGGGATGGGCCTGTGAGTGGGGGACAGGGGGACATGGAGGGACATGGGGACATAGAGGGACATGGAGGGACATGGAGGGACATGGGGATACGGGGATATGGGGACATGGGGACAGCTGGAGTACCTGGGCTGCACCTGGATGGGCCTGGGAGTGGGGACAGGGGGACATGGGGGGACATGGAGGGACATGGGGACAGCTGCAGTACCTGGGCTGCACCTGGGACGGGCCTGGGAGTGGGGACATGGTGGGGACAGGGGGGACATGGGGACATGGAGGGACATGGGGATATGGGGACATGGAGGGATGTGGGGACATGGTGACAGCTGGAGTACCTGGGCTGCACCTGGGATGGGCCTGTGAGTGGGACAGGGGGACATGGGGGGACATGGGGACATGAGGGACATGGGGGGCACAGGAGGAACAGGGGGGGACACGGGGACACGGGGACACGAGGACACAAGGACATGGGTCATGGGGACATGGGGGACACAGGGACATGGACTAGAGTACCTGGGCTACACCTGGGACAGGCCCCTGAGTGGGGACATGGGGACATGGGGGACATGGGGGCGACTGCAGTACCTGGGCTGCACCTGGGATGGGCCTGTGGGTGGGGACAAGGGACACAGGGAGGATCCTCTGAGCAGGACGTGGGGACACAGAGGGGGCACCCTGGCCTTCCCTCCTGCCCCATCCCCTGCAGTGTCCCCAGCCAAGCTCTCTGTCCCCAGGGATGTCCCCAGGGTCCCTGTGCCCCCACAATGCCCCGAGGTCCCACCCCCCCCCATTTCCCCGGAACCTCGCGGTCCCCTGGGTCCCACTGGTTGTCCCCACTGATTGTCCCCTGCAGCGTCCCCGGTGTCCCTGTCCCCCGAGGCCACACCTGTGGTGTCCCCATGGCTGTACCTGCGTGTCCCTGTCCCCCATGGCCTGGGCACCCCCCTGGCACCCCCCTGCCCACCCCCGTGCCCTTCCCTGTGCCCACCATGGCCTGGGCACCCCCCTGCCCACCCCGGTGCCCTTCCCTGTGCCCACCATGGCCTGGGCACCCCCCTGCCCACCCCGGTGCCCCTCCCTGTGCCCCCGTGAGCCCCCCCTGGCTGTGCTGTCACTGTGGCTCTGCTGGGATGGGCACCCACGGCGCCGTGTCTCTGTATCTGTCTGTGTGTCTGTCTGTCTGTCCCTGCCATGTTCCCCTGTCTGTGTATCTGTGTGTCTGTCTATCTGTCCCCGCGGTGTCCCCCTATCTGTCTGTGTGTCTGTCTGTGTGTCTGTCTGTCCCTGCCATGTCCCCCTGTCTGTGTATCTGTCTTTGTATCTGTGTGTCTGTCTGTCCCCGCCATGTGTCCCCCTGTCTGTGTGTCTGTCTGTCTGTCCCCTCTGTGTCCCCCTGTCTGTGTATCTGTCTGTGTGTGTCTGTGTGTGTGTCTGTCTGTCCCCGCCGTGTCCCCCTGTCTGTGTATCTGTCTGTGTATCTGTCTGTGTGTCTGTCTGTCCCCGCCGTGTCCCCCTGTCTGTGTGTCTGTCTGTCTGTCCCCGCCGTGTCCCCCTGTCTGTGTATCTGTCTGTCTGTCTGTCCCCGGCAGTGGGCGGCCTTCCCGGACGTGCTGTCGCTGCGGTTCCGCTGGGACGGGCACCTCAAAGCGCGGGGGTCGCTCCTGGTGGGCTCCAGCCCCGAGTTCGACCTGGCGCTGTTCACCCTCTGCTTCCTGGCACGGCCCGGACGCCAGTGAGTGCGGGCACCCGGGCAGGGGCTGGCACCGAGGGCAGGGGGCTGGCACTGTGGGCAGGGGGCTGGCACCGCCTCAGGGGGCTGGAACCGAGGGGAGGGGGCTGGCACTGTGGGAGGGGCTGGCACTGCCCCAGGGGGGCTGGCACTGAGGAGAGCTGTGGGCAGGGGTTGGCACTGTGGGCAGGGGCTGGCACTGCCCCAGGGGGCTGGCACCGAGTGGAGGGGGCTGGAACCGAGGAGAGGGGGCTGGCACTGTGGGGAGGGGCTGGCACTGCCCCAGGGGACTGGAACCGTGGGCAGGGGGCTGGAACCGAGGGGAGGGGCTGGCACCGAGGGAGAGGGGGCTGGAACTGAGGGGAGGGGGCTGGCACCGTGGGCAGGGGGCTGGCACTGTGAGGAGGGAGGCTGGCACTGTGGGCAGGGGGCTGGCACTGCCCCAGGGGACACCCGGCACCCACCCGGTGGTTGTGGTGCCCACCCGGGGGTCCCGGCCCCGGGCTCACCCTCACCTGTCCTTGCAGGTGCCACATCAGCCTGGGGGCGAGGCTGCCACCATCCAGACCTACAGCTGGGACAAGCAGCGCCTGTGGCCTCAGCGTACCCCCTGACCCCACAGTGAACTCCACAGAACCCCCTGACCCCACAGTGAACCCCACAGGACCCCCCTGACCCCACAGTGAACCCCACGGGACCCCCTGACCCCACAGTGAACCCCACAGAACCCCCTGACCCCACAGTGAACCCCACGGGACCCCCTGACCCCACAGTGAATCCCACAGGACCCCCAGGACCCCCCTCGAGCCCTCAATTGAACCCCCCAGGACCCCCCTGACCCCTCTGACCCCTCAATGAACCCCCTCAGGACCCCCCCTGACCCCCTCTGACCCCCCTGACCCCACAATGAATCCCACAGGACCCCCCAGGACCCCATCGAGCCCTCAATGAACCCCCCTGACCCCTCTGACCCTCAATGAACCCCCCCTGACCCCTCTGACCCCCAATAAACCCCCTGACCCCCATTCCCGCCTCTGCCTTGGAGGGTGCAAGGGATGGGGACACCGGGTGCTGGGACCCCCCAAAGAGCTGGGACCCCCGCAGGGGATGTTGGGGGCCCATGGGGGTGCTGAGACCCCACAGTGACCACTGGGGCCCCACAGGGACTGCTGGGACCCCACAATGACCACTGGGACCCCCCACAATGACCACTGGGATCCCCCAGTGACTGCTGTCACCCCACAGTGACCACTGGGACCCCCCACAATGACCACTGGGACCCCCACAATGACCACTGGGATCCCACAGTGACCCCTGGGACCCCCATAGTGACCACTGGGACCCCCACAGTGACCCCTGGGACCCCCACAATGACCACTGGGACCCCATAGTGACCACTGGGACCCCACAGGACTGCTGGGACCCCACAATGACCACTGGGATCCCCCAGTGAGCGCTGTCACCCCCACAGTGACCACTGGGACCCCACAGTGACCACTGGGACCCCACAGTAACTGCTGTCACCCCATAGAGATTGCTGTCACCACCCAGTGACCCCTGGGACCCCACAGTGACCCCTGGGACCCCCACAGTGACCCCTGTCACCTCCACAGGTGGTGGCACTGCCCCGGGCACTGGGACCCCCCTGTGGGCACTGGGGGGGATGGGCAGGAGCCCAAGGCTGGGGGGGGGACACGGGGACACCCCCAAGGGCCCTGGGGTGTGCCTGGGGTGACACGGGGACACCTGGGGGACATCGGGGGGTGGGGGTGGGCTGTGTGTGCATGGGATGGCACACGTGTCCTTAGCGTGTCTGTGTGTCATTGCACATGTCCTTAGCATGTCTGTGTGTCACTGCACGTGTCCTTAGCGTGTCCATGTGTCACTGCACATGTCGTTGGCATGTCTGTGTGTCACTGCATGTATCTGTGTGTCACTGCATGTGTCTGTGTGTCACTGCATGTGTCTGTGTGTCACCATACATGTCCCCAATGTGCTGTGTGTCACTGCACATGTCCCCAGCATGTCCCTGTCACTCCACACATCACTGGCGTGTCTGTGTGTCACTGCACATCTCCAGTGTGTCCGTGTGTCACTGCACGTGTCCTTAGCCTGTCCATGTGCCCATACATGTCCCCAGTGTGTCCATGTGTCATGCACATGTCCCCAGTGTGTCCGTGTGTCCCCAGCATGTACCGCTGTGTCCGTGTCACTGCACACGTGTCCATAGTGTGTCTGTGTGCCCATACATGTCTCCAGTGTGTCACTGCTGTGTCCGTGTCACCACACACGTGTCCCCAGTGTGCCCATGTGTCACTGGACGTGTCCCCAGCCTGTCCATATACCCATGCATGTCCCCAGCGTGTCACCACTGTGTCCAGGCCAGCACACGCATGTCCATAGCATGTCTGTGTGCCCATACATGTTCCCAGTTTGTCACTGCTGTGTCCCTCTTACCGCACATGTGTCCCCAGTGTGCCCGTGTGTCACTGCACACGTCCCCAGCCTGTCCATATAGCCATGCATGTCCCCAGCGTGTCACTGCTGTGTCCCTGTCACCGTACCCATGTCCCAGCATGCCCATGTGTCACTGCACGTGTCCCCAGTGCGCCCGTGTGTCCCCAGTGTGTCATGGCAGTATCCGTGTCACCACACACATGTATGTCCCAGCATGCCCGTGTGTCCCCAGCATTTCACTGCTGTGTCCCTGTCACTGCTGTGTCCGTGTCACTGCACCCATGTCCCAGCATGCTCATGTGTCACTGCACATGTCCCCAGCATGCCCATGTGTCCCCAGCATGTCACGGCTGTATCCGTGTCACCCCACACATGTATGTCCCCACATGCCCGTGTGTCCCCAGCGTGTGCACACAGCCCCCCGTGGGTGTCCCCCTGCAGTCCCAGGGTGTCCCTGCACAGCCGTGGTGTCCTCAGGGTGTCCCCGGTCTCCCACCCGTGTGTGTGTGTGTGTGTGTCCCCACGTGTCCCCTGTGCTGTGTCCCCAGCATGCCTGTGTGTCCCTGTCTGCTGTGTCTGTGTCACCGTACCCATGTCCCAGCATGCCCATGTGTCACTGCACGTGTCCCCAGTGCGCCCGTGTGTCCCCAGCGTGTGCACACAGCCCCCCGTGGGTGTCCCCCTGCAGTCCCAGGGTGTCCCCACACACGCTGTGGTGTCCTCAGGGTGTCCTCGGGGTGTCCCCGATCTCCCACCCGTGTGTGTGTGTGTGTCCCTGCGTGTCGCTGCCGTGCCCGTGGCGTGGCGTCGGGCGTGCCGGGCCGTGCCCGTGTCCCGGCGTGTCCCGGCGTGTCCCGGCGTGTCCCGGCGTGTCCCGGCTGTCCCGGTGCACCGGGGCCGGGCCGTGCCAGCCCCGCGCGGGCCGTGCCCGTGACGTGTCCCCGCGGGTGGCGCCGCGGCCCCGGCAGGAAGCAAGCACGGAGCGCAAACCGGGGCCGAGCGGGGGCCCGGGGGTGCCATGGGGGCCCCCCGAGAGCGGCGCGAGGTTCTGGCCGCCATCCGGGCCGAGGTGGCCCGGCACGAGGGGGCCAAGGGCCACCTGAACCGGCTGGTGCGGCTCGTGGAGAGCGTGCCCGAGCCCCAGCTGCGCGCCAGCCTGAGCAGCGCCCTCAGGGCTCTCCGAGGTACCGGGGGGACACCGGGGCTGGGGACACCGCGGGGACACCAGGGGGACACCGGGGGGTGCAGGCAGGGGGACAGCAGCGCCCTCAGGGCCCTCTGAGGCACCAGGGACACCGGGGCTGGGGACATGGGGGGACATGGAGGGACACTGGGGAACACCGAGGGGACATGGGGGGTGCAGGCAGGGGGACAGGAGGATGGAGAGTGGATGGACAGATGGATGGACAGATGGATGGAGAGAGGATGGACAGATGGATGGGCAGATGGATGGAGAAAGGATGGACAGGAGGATGGAGAGTTGATGGAGGGTGGATGGACAGATGGATGGACAGGAGGATGGAGAGTGGATGGACAGGAGGATGGAGAGTTGATGGAGGGTGGATGGACAGATGGATGGACAGTGGATGGAGAGTGGATGGACAGGAGGATGGAGAGTTGATGGACAGGAGGATGGAGAGTTGATGGAGGGTGGATGGACAGATGGATGGACAGTGGATGGAGAGTGGATGGACAGGAGGATGGAGAGTTGATGGAGGGTGGATGGACAGATGGATGGACAGTGGATGGAGAGTGGATGGACAGGCAGATGGAGAGAGGATGGACAGATGGATGGACGGATGGAGAGTGGATGGAGTGGATGAAGAGAGGATGGACAGGTGGATGGACAGGAGGATGGAGAGTGGATGGGGGGTGGATGGAGGGTGGATGGACAGGAGGATGGAGAGTGGATGGAGAGTGGATGGAGGATGGATGGACAGGAGGATGGAGAGTGGGTGGAGTGGATGGACATGCCGTGGGTGGAGGAGTGGGTGGGTGGAGAGATGAGGCATGGGCAGATGGGTGGAGGAGCAAGGGGAGGGATGGAGGGATGGACAGACAGACAGGGAGATGGCTGGAGGCACGGATGGACAGATGGACAGCAGGGCAGGTGGAAGGGATGGATGGATGGATGGATGGATGGATGGATGGATGGATGATGGATGGATGGATGGATGGATGGATGGATGGATGGATGATGGATGGATGGATGATGGATGGATGGATGGATGGATGGATGGATGGATGGATGGATGATGGATGGATGGATGGATGGACGGACACAGGACAGGTGGATGGATGGATGGACAGGTGGTGGCTCAAGGCATTGACAGATAGGAGGGTGTAGCAGGGGACGGACACATGGACAGACGGATGGATGGACAGAGGAGAGAGGGGTGGAGGGGCATCCTATGGATGGATGGATGGACGGATGGATGGACAGACAGACAGAGAGTTGGCTGGAGGCATGGATGGACAGACAGACAGAAGGGCAGGTGGAAGGGATGGATGGACAATGAATGAGTGGACTGGTGGATGGACAAACAGGTGGATGCAGATACACAGGTGGAAGGATGGACAGATGGACAGGTGGATGCAGGGATGGATGGATGGATGGACACATGGACGGATGGATGGATGGATGGATGGATGGATGGATGGATGGATGGATGGATGGATGGATGGATGGATGGACGGATGGATGGATGGATGGATGATGGATGGAGGGATGGATGGATGATGGATGGATGGATGATGGATGGATGGATGGATGGATGGATGGATGGATGGATGGATGGATGGATGGATGGATGGTTGGATGGATGGACACATGGATGGATGGATGATGGATGGATGGATGGATGGATGGATGGATGGACACATGGATGGATGGATGATGGATGGATGGTTGGATGGACACATGGATGGATGGTTGGACGGATGATGGTTGGATGATGGACGGAAGGGTGGATGGACAGATGGACGGACGGATAGATGGACACACGGACAGATGTGACCCTGGTGTCCCCCCCAGCCCCACACTGTGCTGGTCTCTGGTCCTGTCCCAGCTCAGGGGGTCCCTGCCCCCCTTCCAGCAGAGCCCCCCCCATTCCGTGCTCCGGTGCCCCCCCAGTGCCGCGGGGGGGGTTTGGCAGTGCCAGCCCCCATGGGGACACAGCTGGGGGGCGGGGGGGGGGGGGGTGCAGGCCCGGCTGGGG